AGAATGTCACGTAGGCACTGGGATGTTTACTGATCAGCAGACTGTAGTGGAATAAATTAGAATAATTAAGTACCCAGCAACCGGTGATCAGCCAATAAGATTCTTTTATTTGAATTTCCCTCCAACTTAAGTTGTAGTTTTCCCATGATGCAACTTGAGGTGTCTGGATTTAATGTTTGTAATTAACCACGTGAATCAGAGTAAACTAAGATCTTGAAGATACAAGACCTCGTCAGTTTGGATTTATTTATGTGCAAGCGTGTTTTATTTAATCTGTGGACTTATTGGAGCATTATTTTGGATATATTGGATTAGTTGCAGTAATCGTTAGATGCAGATTGTATTTGGTGTGACTATTGAAGAAAATACAAGACAACAGCCAGTGTTTTGGTGAGTTAGCCATTTTCTTGATTGTGGTTGGCATAAAATGGGTAATTAGCTGTCCGCCATCTTGCTTTCTTGTTCCCACAATTCCCGGCGGTCGGCCATCTTTGATTTTGAAGGAAGTGACGTCATTTTGAGAAGTTTTGAGCTCCAGATTCTCTGAGTAGATTTGGCTCTGTCTAATCTCATTTCTTTGATCGATATTCGTGAGTCATTCTGCTCTGAGTATTGGTGGCTCCTAGTCATTACCCCTCCAAGCTATAAATGCTCCTACTTTGTCGAGGCGATCTGACTCTCACCCAGGGTTGTATGTTGAGGAAGGTTTACTCTCATTGGAGCCAAAGTTACATTACCGGAACTGAGGTGCTCCAAGGCGAGAGATAACAGCTCTGTCTAATCTCATCCTTTGATCGACATTCTAGAGTTGTTATTCTCTACAGAGGTTGTAGTGAGGTTGCTCCTGCGAAGCGGTGACTCCGAGAGCAGAAGTTACTCTTTGGAGACAGTGTAGCTCATTGAGTGAGAGCACTCTTTGAGTAGAGGTTACTCCTGAGACGAGGCGATTCCCGGGGCTGAGGTACTAGCAGTGTGTGGATCTCGTTCAAGAGCAGAGGTTACTCTTGAGACGAGGCGATTCCCGGGGCTGAGGTACTCCCAGTGTGTGGATCTCGTTGGAGAGCAGAGGTTTCTCCTGAGAAGTGACGACTCCAAGAGCAGAGGATACTCCCGGAGCCTGGACCCCTTCCAAGAGACAGTGTAGCTCAAGAGTGAATTGAGCAGAGGTTGTAGAGAGGTATATCCTGAGAAGTGGTGACTCCAAGAGCAGAGGTTACTCTCGGAGCCTGAACCCCTTCCAAGAGACAGTGTAGCTCAAAGAGTGAAAGCACTCTTTTGAGGAGAGTTTAAGGGTGGTTACTCCCGTGACAAGGCGACTCCCGAAGCAGAGGTTACTTCTGGAGCCAGGGCTCCTTTCCAAAGACGAGATAGCTCAAGAGGGAGAGCTCTTTTCAAGCAGAGCAGAGAAGAGTAGACAAGCAAAATATTGCAGAGAGCAGAGCCGAGTATATCAGAGTATAGCAGAGCAGAGACAAGCAGAGTATTGCAGATTAGAGTAGAGACAGATAACTCAGAGCCAGAGTGTTTTGGACCCTTGTATATATATAGAGACATTTGCATTTGAGTTATTGGCCATAAAGGCTTTATTAAAGGACACTTTGAAATTTATTGTGATTATTGTGTGTTGAATAGATTGTTAAAAATCCTGTAATTGATTGTTTTGTATATTCCTGTGTTCTCCATCTCCTAGCTCAGTGACAGCCGAAGCACCAAACAAGCTCGGCGCCCGTGAGAAACACCTCCGAATCCCTTATCATCGCCACCAGACCTTCTCCGAGGGAGTACAGGTACTCGGCGGGAGTCTGGCGCGCGACAATATTGTATAAAATGTTGATCTTTCAAAATCTAATTTTACTAATATGTTAAAGTTTGGTGCCTGGATTCTTTCCTCTGCTATTGGTGAATTATATATGACTGCTATAACAACCAGGAATAAATTATAAACGTTAATGTATTTCTCATTTAAACTGGACTGCCAATTAATATTTGATTGAGAAACATATCGAATGAATGAACAATCAAATGAACAATGGCCCAACTTAAGTCCTAAACATATTTGAGCCTTGGCCTAGTAGTTCATGTAAAAATTCCTTTATATTTTATATGGGTCAAATTCACAGAGAATTTGAGTGTTATTAAACAATAAACATATTTGAACCATGGCACATTAGGGAATTATAGGGAACAACATGAATTTTTCTGAATCGATATTATTATCTTTATAAATATTTTTGGACAAACCCCAATGCCAAATGGCAATATCTGTCATTTCTGAAGGCTGGTTATTACGTAACATTAAAATAGATTTATATGATAGCCTATACATTTAGAAACTGAAACTGAAAAGCTAAGACAGTGTTACATTTGATGAATAAAAGTCCCTCATTAATGAACTGAATTGCTAAGACAGTGTTACATTTGATGAATAAAAGTCCCTCAATGATGAATTGAATAGCTAAGACAGTGTTACATTTGATAAATAAAAGTCCCTCAATAATTAACTGAATTGCTAAGACAGTGTTACGTTTGTTGAATAAAAGTCCCTCAATGATGAATTGAATAGCTAAGACAGTGTTACATTTGGTGAATAAAAGTCCCTGAATAATGAACTGAAAAGCTAAGACAGTGTTACATTTGATCAATAAAAGTCCCTTATAATGAATTGAATAGCTAAGACAGTGTTACATTTGATGAATAAACGTCCCTTATAATGAATTGAATAGCTAAAAGACAGTGTTACATTTGCAGCAACAACAGGTTTTAATGCATTGATGTATCATGCGAATATTGTAATTGATGCTCAACATGTCCAGTTTTATGTAATAATTAAATAGGAGAGTTACGCATTTGATGAGCCAATGGTGTTTCCCACCGAATTTTTAATTTCAGAGAAGCCTGTTTGAGGAGTTTGCGAATTATTTACGCGTCTTCTCTTGCAAAACATTTTACTCCAGGGCACTGTACTGAACGTGTAGACCATAGGGTTGATGGCGCTGTTGATGGGGAGCACAAATATGCTGAAGTACGCAAATTTATCTCCTGAAAAATAAATTAATCCTATAAACCATAAAAGCATTTATAACATGGTACATACCAATAACAGCTTGATTATTGAACAGGTTGATGCTGAATTAAGGAATAAATAATGATAGACCATTCAAAATGGTAAAATTCAGCTCGAGTTGGACAGAATGTGCTACAAAACACGAACCTAAGCTGATTATACAGCATATATATCCAGCAGCTCAAGTAATCGAGTGAGAATTGCCTCGGGATATTGAACCTGGACGTTATCTGGTGAATTTCATAATGTCTCGGTTGTTTAGTTGTTTAAGCGCCCTGGTTGCTATTTCAACCGAGGGGTATCTAACTCAATTATTGGAGCCCTTTGGACGTATTCTCGTGACTGAATCTCTGTTCAGTAAAAGCGGATATGACTACTAAATATATAAGCACTAGTGCCAAGGGAAAGGACCAAAAGTTGTAATGGAACTTGCAAGAAAAAGCAAACTCTAAGTGCATACCAGTAAAGAAAAACAAACCCCATATAGCCCAAAACCATGATCTAACATGAAAAGAAACAATGTCTAATACCCCCTTTCCCTCACCATTCAAGAATCAATATCACAATCCAAGACCAGAAGACCAAGGGACATTTCATTCATACTGAAGTCATTACAAGTCAGTGAAGTCGTCACATACGGCTAAAATATTTTACAAATCGACCTTTTTCTTTGTGAAAGTAAACTTTTCCTCAGACGTTATTTACAACCAGATTACAACTAGATGGGGACCAGTGCTTGGGCTGCTCTGTAATATTTTCAATGTATTTAGTATGGTCTATTCTTGACAAAATATGTGCCCAAGCGTGGTTCATTATTTGGGGGACATGGGGAGGGCATCCACCATGATTATTTACCTGGAAGTGTGATGCCATGTAGAGCCAGGAATCCAACTATGGATATGGGAACCCAGCAACAGAAATCCGTGACTACAATCCAAAGCATTTTTCTTGCCATCTTCATGTCTTGTGTGTTACGTCCAGCATGACTAGTACGAGTGGATCTATGTCGAAGAACGGTGGAGCAGTACATCGCGAGATAGCAGGCCGCTACCAGGAGAAACCCAACAAAAGTGGCCACATTAAATAGAGCGAATGAATATTCCCATCCTTTGAAACGAAAATCTGCTAGAACAAGAGGAAGGCAGAATCCATACTGAGAATAGAATACGTGGAATCCAAAGTAGGTCAAAGGGAGAAGTGGCAATCCAGAATCCAACCAAAAGCCAAGATGGTATAGGCTCTGTGTTTGGTCAAACGAAGGCCACATTTAAAAGGAAATACAATCCTAAAGAACCTATCAGATGTCAAGGTAACGAGAGTAAAAACTGACATTTGACTTGAAAGAGACACCACAAAACCAGCTATCATGCATGTCCTTCCATTTACCCATTCCGATTGATTTTCAGCATATTTTCCCCGAAACCTTATATCCATGGCCGCGATGATAACAATATATATGCCCATCAAGAAATCAGAGATTGATAAGTTCAGAATCATTATGTGGTTGATGTAAGAACTGTCAGTCGATTGCTCTCGTGCACGCAATCTTATGACAGTAATGTTTCCAAAGAGTATCAGTAGACCAACTACCCATAGAGAAATTCTTAGTATGTCACTTTTGATGAGGTCCGTGCATGACGATAAGTAGTCTGGTTGTGGATAACACTCGTAATGTGCTTGAATGTATCCTTGCCGATTGTGTGAATGTTACTGCCTACAAGGTGCAGAACCTTGAGGGAAAATAAGCCAGAAAACGTGGATCCTTTTAAACTACCTCCTTGTATTCGTGTAGTGGACAAGACCAAAGTTTCCAATTTCTCTAGATGTTCAAAGCAGCTAGGTTCCAATGTCAAACGACCTTTGTTGCCTTCGATTCTTAAATCTTTCAAATTCCCCAGCCCTTTATATACGTCTTTCGTAAGGCCTTCGAGTTCATTGTTTGACAAGTCAAGTGTTTTCAGCATTTCAAGGTCCTGAAATCCATTAGTCATGATTTCTTTTATTTCATTTCCAGACAAGCTAAGTTCTCGTAAATCTTCAAGCCCCTTAAATAACTCTGGTTCAATTACTGGAATGTGATTGCATTTAGAGACAGGTTACTGGTGTCATTTTGCATTCCGAGTCGGGCTGTACCGACACCCTTTGGACTACAATATATCTGTTTGAGTTGTGGTGAAATTTTGGTCTGCCGAGTACAGATGTTTGACTCAGGATGAGACTTGGGGTCGATACTTCTCTCTGACAGAGAAACACACGTGAAACGATCAGTTATGACATCATTACACTTTCGTGTAGAATAGATGCCCGGAGGGACCTCCAGTATTTCACACGTGGTGGAACTCAGCCTCGTGCCTGGAATGAAAAAAAATGAATTTATTTAAATGCGTAAGGTACCCAAGTTGTACAATTTGAGAATTCAACTTTCCGGGAAATTACAGATTCATAGACCAGCGCTTCAAAAATTCCACTCAAACATGTCAAATGTGACAAGAATGGGGTACTTTGGACGGTTGATTATTTGGTTGACAGTTTAACCAAATTTGTGCCTCCCTTGTTGTTGAGTAAGGAATGAAATGTGTACAGATAAAGTAAACAATGAACAAAAACCTCTAGTATTTCTGGTATTTCCTGGAAAATTGGTAAGATAACGTGATCATTTCATGAAGTAAAGTGGTGGGATTTTATTTTTATTCAATCGGACTCTTCAATTTGACCATCTTATCTTTTAAACAGAAGTACCAATGGAAAATTGCTTTTTATAAATAATGTCATTGTGTGTTGTGTCATGTATCAAAGAACCTGAATTGACAAGTTATGCATACTCTCCCAGCCGCCCCTCGTCCCTGCTTGGATCAAATTGTCATAAACTCTACCTGCATAGATGATCGTCTTTGATTCTATGTCACCTCGTTGTGTCTCTTTCAAAGTTTCCTTTATGCAACGTTTTTTATCACTGTTTGCTAAATCTGCACCATAAGACCAACACATCTTTCTTGCATCAAGCCATGTCGTGTTTTTGTATGTTGCAATGAATAATCTGTAGCAATCACCATTACAATAGGACCAGTCCTTTTTACACGGTGCAGCATATATATCTACAAACAAAACACACAACCGGTGTGTAAATAGTACACATTTTCTCTTTGTGGAATTTCCCATTGTAATCAAATGGTACAGTTCCAAGCAGATTTTGAGATAACAGGAAAGTAAATCTTTTTGGGTTGCGATATAAACCAAACCAACCCAATGAGGTGTGTATTAAAGACTAACTTTTCCTGCTTCTGTAGTGAACGGGTATTTCAATTGCGCAATTTTGATGAAGGATAAAAAAGCAAATGGGACCTCATGGGACCTCGTGGGACTCGATGGGGCAAGATGGGGCAAAATCCCACGGAGTCCCATGGAGTCCCACGGACTTCATGGGGCAAAATCCCAAAAGGTCCCACGAGGTCCCACGCAATGTTAAGTCTATGGAGGTCCCAACTTGCCCCATTGGTGTATACCGGGCTTAAGAAACAACTGTGCAATTCTGACCTTTTTTATGACTTGACAAATGTTAGATCTATTAGACATATATGTAGGCCTAGGAGTGCATTAGGGCATTTAAAATTCAGCACAGGAGATTGAATAATCTCAATATTTAAAAAAATGAACCCTTCAAAGATTGTATCATGCCCCACGTACGTGGGTACGAGGTACGAAGATTTTTAGCGCCTGTTTCCTTACCACCACCATTTGTTCTTTCAGGAGCTAACGTTTTTCCGTCAACCGGAACAGGTGCAACCATTCCTTCATCAGTACATGTATTTTCTAACCCCGATAATACTCTGATTGCAACGCATAAAGGATCTGAAAACGGGAACAGGAAATGTAATGAAGCTGATTAAAACTATATAAACCATATTACGAGGGCTGATCCAAAAGTCTGGGACGCCCCGTTTTAACTTGCAGATTATAAAGATCAACATCTTAACAACTTTGTGTATACCAGGAAATTTTTATTTTAGGTACGTTTCTCGATAGTTTTTAATAAAGAGAGCCTGCCACCTAGAACGGAATATAAAAAAGTAAATCACGTCACAACTGTTAATGTGGCAATTAGCACCCTGCTATAGCATGACGGTTACGCCACCTCTGAAAACGAGGTTGGACGGCTACGTTCAACTGAAGAGGAGGGAAAGCCCCAGAGTTTAAAGATGACAGACATAATTACCTCTCTTGCTTACCACCATTTAGTAATGTATATTTTGAACGGAGTTTTGCAAATTGATGCCCGGGGATAACATGAAATAAGCGATAAAAAATGTTGAGTTTGAAATTCAAAACTACACAAAAGGAGCACGTAGATTAGCGCTAACAGTTTCAAACGATTCTAACTTGTACTATTGAATTATGAATATTTTCTGATCATGAACATGGGTGTATCTTTTAGATCCATTCATTATCTCCAAGAAAAGTATATATCGATAATTTAGTTAATCAGACCTAAGTGATATTGAAGGGGCAATGGACCAATCAACATACTTTTTCAAAAATGTTGACCTAATTTTCACCAAAAATGCAACCTTTTATCATATTTTTGAATGCATAATTAGAATGTGCTTTAAGACATGTTCAATTTCCTAAAAGGAAAAGTTGATTGCTCCAGGGACTTTAAAGATACAGAATCTGAATGACCAAAATGAACTGAAACCAATGGATAGCATGAGGTTTTTCAATGGAGAAATAACATGGGAAACACTTCTCTTAAAGCAATTAAGTTTTTCTTTCAAGAACTATTTGATACATCAAAATAAAGAATAGAAATGCATTAAACATTGTAAAAAATGATTGCATTTTTGGTGAAAATGGGGTCAACATCTATGAAAAAGTGTGTGTTATGGGTTGATTGCTAGTTAGATATCTCCGAGTTTGTTTGACTTTATTATTACTGTATATAATTTCCTTTGAAATAATGAATTGATCTAAAAGATAAACCTGTCTTCATTGTCAGAAAATAGTCATAATCCGAGATATAACCTTCTGAAATTGTTTTGCGATAACCTACGTGCTCCTTTAGTAATTTGTTTATTTTTGTCGTTAGGGCATGGTCTACATTGCCTAACGACCTCGGGGTATATAGATGTAACCTACGTACGATCATAAAAAGCCAATTGGGCATTGGAAACCACCTTATATGTTCTACTCAAGCCATAAAAATGTATTTTGAATTTGCGGTTACACAAAAAATTGATGGACGGTTACGCGACCTCGTTCAAATATGTATCCCCGATTCATTGTCATTAATTTTGTCATATTCATCAGTACTTGATGCTAATTCTTCTTTTGCCTCTTCATACTGTAGCTATCTTTTTGATTTTCATTGGTTTCATAAATAAAACAAGAAACAATTTTTTCCTTGCCTTATAGAGGCTCAAACAAGAGCGTCTCTTGCGAGTCCTGAAAACAAATATAAGCAATTCAATATTCCATTTCTTACCCATTATAACAATGACATGGAAAGAGGCTATCAGAACTAGCAACCTTGACTTGAAAGGTGTACATGCACGTAACCGTCCGCTAAATATCTAATGTACAACCAAATTACAATACGTTACCGTCCATAGAATTCATACGTAGTCGTCTAACAACGTTGCGTTTGAAACCTTATTATTTATAATATACACCACGTTCCTGTTCTAGATTTGTCATTTTATGACTTGTTTATACACAGTTTTCTTACTGTTAATAGTTTGAGTGGCTCTGAGGCACATATACTGAGAAATCACGAGAATGGACTAAAAATAAGAACTTGGACATCTCAGTCGGTAAGTTTACAGCTTATTTTCTGCTTCTAATAAACCACCTGGCAGATTTGACCCAGGCTTTATAACCATCCATATATACGCCATCAAATGGAACTAGTTGAAATGAAATCTTATCTGTGAATCCTGCCTACAGGCGAGAAAGAGGACATGCTGTCTTTCCCATCCGCCATTTTTTCTTATCGTTACCGCACAATTTTGCAAATCGCTTTGACGTAACCGTCATGCTAAAACACCGTAATAAGGTTCAGGTGCAGAACATAACTCCAGTCGTAATACGAGAGACTTTTGGATCACCCCTCGTATTAGAATTTTGACACCATTATATAAAAAAATTATTAACGATTTAATTCCATACATAACTAACATATAACATACACATGTCTGCGGCTTTGCAGAACTGCATTATAAGCCACAAGTAAACAAGTTTGTAAGAAGAAAGTTGGCACTAAAGGATAGGTATCGATATGGTGAACGGAATTCAACAATGTTTTTCTCTTAAACCAATTATTGAAAACATTTTGTAAAAAACACGGTATTTTATCTTGTTATGTAATGTTGACTGAATGGCTACAATTTAATGCAAAAAATATTTATATATATTTTTATAACTGTTTTTGTTAACATTTTTTGTTTTTAGTATGGTTGTTTTTTGTTCCTTTCTACCAGAGACATATAAAACACCAATGCTTGAGAATGAAATAAAATGCGTTTCCGAACCTTATTGGAACAAAATAGCATATATAAGATTTTCCTAGACTTCTCAATAATATAGTTATACAATGGAAATTTTGGTTGATATCTAAAAAGTATGCAAAAACTTAAAACAAAACCCCCCAAAATAGATAAACTAAGATAAGCCTTTTATTTCATTAACATTAAGATACTTTTTTAAAATCAACTAAAATTTCCTTTATACAATTACAATATTGAGAGACCTAAAAACACGTTGTGTTTATGTCGTTTTGTTCAAATGAGGTTCGGATAGATGTAATCATTCCGAACATATGATACCAAGAATCCAATCCATGAAACAAAATCATCACACAAGTAAAACAGGATAATGATACACTTTCATCTACATACTATGGCATTATTTTTGCTTCTTTATTCATTAAATATAAAAATATTCGATATATGAAATATTAATATTCGCTAAATCATTTTCCATTCGGCAAAAACGTTAATATGTTTGTTACAGCAAATTAAGTTTTCAAAATAGCCAATCACTTAATACTATGTGCATTAAATTACATATTTTATTCGCTAAATGATGTTTTTGCGTAAATTGTCAAGGTATTCCTTAAGAGTAACACATTATATGCACAATATTGAATTTCTGTTTGAACCCTACCAAAATAAGTTTGCCTATATTTACCGAATGGTTTATTTTTCTATGACATGGTTAATGCATTTTACCGAAAGCTAATTTGCTATTTACCGAATGCAATAAAGTAATATTCGATAACTTTCGTTGTTTTCGATATTTTGTCACGTGACCTCGAGATTTGCAAAATGGCCGCGCAGCTATTCTACATCGTTCAAATATATCACGTGACTGAAAGTCTCGTAAAGTATCGAAAAATAACGAAATTTATCGAATGTGGCATTCGGTATTTACCGAATATAAATAATTTAAATAACGAATGTACAAATAATTAATTGAATTATACGTGCGTTAAGGAAAATAAATAGATTCGCTTCATCACACAATTACATGTACATGTACATTGTGTATAAATATTAAATGTGAGTGCCAACACAAAGAACAAGTGAAACTATTTAGCGAATATAAATTGTATAGATTATTACATTCGATAAAATAAAAAAAAACATTCAATAGATTTGGTAAAGGTTTGGTAAACTGTTTGTTTTATTTGGTATTTATGGAATATTTAATGTACCGAATAAAGAAGCAGTTTAAACACCATAACATACAAGGATTTATATATTATTGTACAAGAATTGAAAACACTATAATCTGGTCAGTGTTTATATTCTGATTATACGAAATGGTAGTCATTAGTATTGTGATAATAACGTCCCTTATACCTATTTATTACAGGTCGTGTAGACCATTTTTGTCCGATTTATAGCAAAAACATTGACTTTTGCACGTTGGTGATGATGCACCTTTTTTTAATAGATCTCATATCTTAGAAGGGTATCAGTTCAAAAAAATACTAGATGACCTAACATATTTTGCCATGCACTGCGCCTATTCATTTTGCAATTAAATTGTAAATTTTCTCTTGAAAAATTAAATCTTCCAAATTTGTTAAGTTTTCTTGCAGAAATCGCCTAACCCCCCCCCCCTCCATCATTTTTGTACGATCATCGAGCGTGTTAAATGGGTGTCATCGTTTGTGAAATCTTCTATCCTACGCGCGAATTCAGTCCAAAATGGAATTTTTTCTTGTTCGATGGTTAGTCTATAAACATTTATTAAAATAAAGCGTTCGTTTTGAATCTCAGTGTCTAGAATAAGAAACCGCTCATTTTTATCAGAAATGTGTCGTTTGACCTATTGTCAAGAGAGTCTTTTATTAATATCATTACTCCTCTACTTTTAGAGGACCCATGTGAAAAATATATGTCACCTTTCCATTATATGTATTTTCAATTCCGTGTGTACTGTGGGTTTCTTGTTGAAAGGTATTGTCTTTGTTTTTACGTTTTACCCAATTCATAACCGTATCCCGTTTATTTTGATTCACCAAGCCCCTAACATTAAAAGATAGCATATTAAAATTCATCATCGATCTAGCGCCTGTTCATTTTGTGATTTAAACTATAAAAATATGTAGTATTAAATAATTTATATCCAATATATACTTTTAGGCATATGATTAGTTTACAACAGTATCGTATCACCCAAATAACATATTTGTACAATATTATTAAACATTCATTCACTCCTATTCCTTCGTGAAGCTTTGTCCGTATAACAAATCAAGTCAATCTACTTTTTGGATTAACGTTGGCAGAAATGATAGCTTGACTTCGAGTCCTTATTTGAAAGAGTGAGAGTTTAGAATGGATGGGCCTGCTACTTACGATTCCATTTTATTCCTTCTGCTTGCGTGAGCATTAGCAATAGGCATAATTTAAAACTCGTAAATCCGAGTAATCCTCTCCTCATTTTACCACACGACCACCATACAATAGGTCCAAAGCTACACGAGAGCATCGAATAGTCCCTTCTATATATTGTGAACATAGCAAATTGTAACAATCTCTAGTATTCTCTACACTATATAGTTATGGTATAATTTAATTTCAGTGGCATTAGAGATATCATCGCACTCGGAAAATATCAATGCATATACTAGTATCTCAAAGGGTATAAAAACATAACTTATTTTGAAAGAACTAAAAACTACTTTGTGATCCAATTCATTCGCGATTCCAATTTATTGATTGTACCCAGGGGATCGATGGGTGTACGTTAGTTTCATTCATTAGATAGTGCCCCCCCCACGCCCCAACAAAAAAAACAATTTTGTAACATTTGTTGAAAAAACATTAACAAATTATAGTTTGAAATGCTTAAAATGCACCATGTAGAATCTAAATGTTGTGGGCTAGCTTCGCTCGCAGTGATGCAAAGCCAAAAATTCGCACCCTTGACATTTTTTAGCTACGCCCTTGTCTACTAAGGGACGACTTAGAGCATTAATACTGTGGGGATTTTGCGGAAATTCCCACTTTGTATTATTAGGAGTTATTGCCGTTTGTTACAAGCTGACGTTTGAGGATTTTTGTTTTGGTGCATATTTGGTGCAAATTTCGAACAGACCTAATAACACAAGAAATGGGTAGTCTTGCGCATACAAAACAAGCGCTACTTAGTCTACTTCAGATACCCGATCAGTTTCAGATCTGTGTTTAGAACAGGAGATTTGCAATTTCATGTTGGTGTCAACGGGAATCATTATACTCATGTCTTTTGAATACTATGCTGGCAATTTTGATTTCGATGCATAGTATAATGCTTTCTGAAGAAAATGATGTATGGCATACATGTTTTAATTTCAAATATCTTACGAAACGAGCATGTTTAAAATATGTAGCATAGAAAACGAACTGTATAACTATCAATGGCATAGTACACGATAGTGGTTGGAAGACTGACTCGTGTACTCGAGTTTTACTCTCATTTGTCCTAAAAATCAATTGATCGAGTTGAAAACTTGAACTCGCGATTTGAAATGTTTACCAATTATTCACTCGTTTTCACCTTACCTTGACTCGCGATTCGTCTCTCCTATTCGCAATTTCCATGCTTATAGTTGTAATGTTCTGCTTATAATCTGTATAGAAAACAACTTATTTTCTATTTAATGCCATGTGCGGAAGACAAACATACTCGGATTTTATTCTGCGTTCGTTATTTTTATGCAAAAGTTTCATTTCCGGTTTGATGCATTCTGGGAATATCCAACAGCCGGGAATTTTAAAATATTTGTCTACCGCGGTGCATCCTGGAACTTTCTGGATTGACGAAGTTTGTTTTCACTATTTATTCTGTAAGTTTTACTATCTATAGGGGACTAGGGGTGAACTTTAGCGATCTATAGGGATGTGCAATACGATTTAGACAATAAAAAGTATAGAGGCACTTGAAAGACTTGATCAAATTGATGAATTCTGCCGCTACTTCGGAAACTGAAACCGGAAGTAACTCAACTAAGTCAAATCGCGATTATAATCGTGGTTTTTCATGGCCCACTCGAGTGGAGATTTTCAGGCGAGTCCGACCACTAGTACACGATGATGTGTAGTCTTAACGGACTAAGTAAACACTGTGCCGAACGATTGTTTTATGTGAGAAAACTACATGCATTTGTATAGGGCGATTTATACGTACAGGTTTCCCGTTCAATTTTATGTACATTGCTTAAAGTCTCAATTGATTTATAAAAGACGTAGCACGCCTGGTATCCCTGTCTATGGCCCATCGATAAACGTCTGGCTTGTTGGCCGAATCATGTAGGCTAATTCCTGTCATTAGCAGGGGTAAAAATGATAAAAACTAATTCACATTTCGAAGTTCTTCTATACAGAGAATCATATAAAATATACAACAGAATCGTCGATTTAATAGAGAGTTAAAGCTCGCGATATTTTTCACAACGTAACCGTGAACGCAAGATAGTAGAACGAAAAAGTTCGCTTAGACTTGAATAGTTCATCACTTTTAGTCATTTTAGTAGTTCAATTTTCATATTAAGCTTACTCTTATTTATCTCATGGTTCTTCTATTTTCATGGGAATAACACCTGGGAATATTTGTTATATTGAAAACAGCGTAGTGTCCAACCCAGTCCCGATCGCGAAAATCGTATTGCGAGTGCCAATCGCACTCACGAAAATGGTATTCATCGCCCGTGAATGTTTGCAAAACAAAGATTCCTACAATACTGATTTTTATTTACACATTTGAAGTGGATACGCATCTTTAAACAACATGTAGTTCGTTTCGAACTGAAACCACTACTTGAAATGCTGAACTAAGATTTAGATTATTCATAAAAGCCAATATCTCTTTCGAAAGATTGGGTGGCCCTGAGAAGGGCCGTTGTTTTTTGCAAGCCGAATGGTTTATTTCTTGCTTCGCTTGGGGAGAAGAACAGCTTGGATGTTGGGAAGAACCCCTCCTTGGGAGACAGTCACATTTCCAAATAGGCGATTCAATTCCTCATCGTTACGTACGGCGAGCTGAATATGGCGAGGAATAATTCTGCTGCGCTTGTTGTCTCTAGCGGCGTTCCCGGCCAACTCCAAAACTTCTGCTGTGAGATATTCCATCACGGCGGCCAAGTAAACAGGTGCGCCGGCTCCAATGCGGTTGCCATAGTTTCCTCTACGGAGAAAGCGGCTAACACGGCTCACTGGAAACTGCAAACCAGCTCTTGAAGACCTAGACCTTTGTTTGGTGCTCTTTCCCTTGCCTTTACCTCGTCCTGACATATTTATTTTGTGATTTTAGGAGTACGACTATCAACAAGAATGTTTTCTGAGGAAAGTTGTCTATTTATATAGCCATCTAATGCAAATGAGCGGATTGTGAATGAACAAAATAATACTGTTACTCTTGTTTTATCTCTTTTAGGTCCGATTCCTAATAGACCAATCGAATGATTTCCCGCCATGTTAGCTCTGTTAAGTCCGCGCAGTTTTCAGATTCTGTCAAGTCCGAAAGATAATTTGGCGCCATATTTAATTGTAACACTTTTAAGTCCGCGCTATTTGACCAATCAAATTTGATACATTCTCAATCCCCTAATTTGCATATTTGTCTTATAAAAGCGAGTACGTTCGAACTGCAATAACTCAAGTTTACCAATCTTGAAAGCAATGGCAGGAAGAGCAGCATCTCCAAGACGAGCGAGTCCGAAGAAGGGGAGCAAAGGCTCCAAGAAGCGTGGACGTCGTCCAGGACCCCAGAAACGTCGCAGAAGGAGGAGGGAATCTTACGGTATCTACATCTACAAGGTTCTCAAGCAGGTCCATCCCGACACTGGCATCTCAAGCCGTGGAATGAGCATCATGAACAGCTTCGTGAATGATGTGTTTGAACGTATTGCCGGTGAAGCATCCCGACTCGCCAACTATAACAGGCGCTCTACAATATCTAGCCGAGAGGTCCAGACCGCCGTCCGTCTATTGCTACCCGGGGAACTAGCCAAGCATGCCGTTAGCGAGGGAACAAAGGCTGTCACAAAGTACACAAGCTCCCGATAAACTGTGTTCTGCAATAAAACCAACGGCCCTTCTCAGGGCCACCCCTTACTTTGAATTGAGAATGTGATTTTATGAATTATGATTTTATAAATCTATGGTGTACGATATTTGCAGTTGTATGCAAATGCAAAATGGGTTAACAATTGTTTTTAAGAATTCATAGTTGAGACCAGACCCATTTTTTCAAACAGTTCACGGAGTAACAACTCCCATCCTAATGCATGTAACGACAAACAAGTAGGCCACATGGTTTCAAAAACTGAAATGTAAGCAAGGTGATAGATTTATTCGCGCATGTCGGTTCATTCCCTTGCTTTCTATCATGTCTATTGAAATTCATTTTTTACATATTATTCATGATAAATGACAAAATAGTGTTTTTGAATTACATCCTTGACGCAGTTAGGGACAAGAAATCATGTATATTTCAAAGAAACCATAACAATTGTATATCCTTTTTTGTCTACGATAGGCCATCTGATTGGCTAGAAGCCATCACATGTGCATGTCACGTTTAGTTGTCCTCCTTTTGTTGTTGGTTAAAGTTGCAAAAATTGACAAAATCTCAAACTTGAAGTTGATCAAAAAATTGACAAAAATAGTATAATTCCACATTTTCTATATATTTAAAAACTAAAAAATATAATACACGTTTTAATAGACACATAGGCCTGCTGACTTTCATTTGTGCAAGGGGGGGGGGTTGTCTTGATACATTTAATTGTTTTACATTGGGATGAGCAAATGAGAGGTTTATGTTAACATGATACATAGTTGGGCCTACCAACTGCCAGAATGCAACTCTCTATTAAAGGTGGCTTGCCGCTTAGCTTGATGAGTTGATTTCATGACAAAATATTGGGGAAAATTCACTAGGTGTTGAGTGTTGAGGATGCAGTTAAAAGGTTTGAGGTTCATAGTAAAGATGGCAGTAGTGTTAGAATTTAATTATATTTTAGCAAGGAGGGTTGGATCCTTGAATGCAATTCCGATAATCTGCCATATATGGTGTCATAACATTATCATCGGCATGTACAAAATTTGAACAGTCACCATTTCTCAATCTTTCTCACTTCAGAATTTGAATCACATGTTTTGGTCTTATTACTTGACAGAAAAAAACACACAGGAAGTGATCAAGATTTAAGTTCAAATCTTTTGATCACTGACTGTGAATTTATAGCCAGATAAATATCAGACAATAATGACGCTAACTTTGTTGGAAAATATCAAAGTTGCATTGTGGCTGCCAATCCTGCTTGATATTATACAGTTATAAGATATGTGAAACAGACTGATTGCCCTGCATGCTGCCATCTTTATTTCTATTCAAAAATTATATTCAATAACCAGTTGCCAGTTCACCATTTTGCTTATGAATTGAAAACCCCCAAAGTTACTGTTTAGTTTAAAACATTGATATCCAGTGAGCATGGCGTTATAATATACAATTTTCGTCTTTTCTTACTCTGTACTTTAACATACATTTCTGCATTTAAAACAAGTATAGCCTACACTATAAAACATTAAACGTTTGGTAGGGAGCTGAGCAGACATGAGTCAATTGAAAATAATTTTTTCAGTAATCAATTCGAAAAAAAACAGCAGAAAATTAAGGTGCATCCATTTTTGAAATGCTCTGTGTTTTTCAAATCTTGTCAAAATCTTTTAGTCCAATTAAATTCTTTGAGTCCATGCGTTCAGGGTAAACACAAAAAGGAACACATCACATGGCATATTTTCGTCAGATCAATTTATTATTTATCTTTCAAAAAATATAGACAGTGTACATCTTCAACAGAACTCTATGGTACCATTTCGGCTAGAGTACTGTATGGTACTGTTAGCTCAAACAGTACTGACGGTACCATAAACAAGGCACCGTACGGTACCATTCATATATATAGGCTTATGTTCATAGAAAGTCAAGAGGCAAAAAAATACCAGAGGAGTATTTCCTTTCCACAATTCATGATCCACTTGCACAAGATATGTTTTGTATAAAATCTCATTTAAGTCATTACTGATCAAAATTATCATGATATTATGATGATATTTGTCATCATATCTTCATATTTATCAAAATATCATAACTTTGATTATGAAATCCTCATTTTTATCATGACATCCTCACTTTTATAATGATATCCTCACTTTTATCATGACACCCTCACTTTTATCATGAATCCTCAGTTTTATCATGACATGCTCACTTTTATCATAATATCCTCACTTTTATCAAGATATCTTCACTTTTATCATGACATCCTCACTTTAATAAAGATATCTTCACTTTTATCATGAAATCCTCCCAGTTACAGTATCATGATAACGGTACATACACACAAACATGACAAAGTCCTCACTGTGTACAACAGAGTTAAAGGTCTAACTATCACCTTCTAGTAGATTCAGAAAGTCCTTGTTCAATTAGTTTCAGGTCCTCAAAATCATCTTTTATAATTTCAATCAAGTATTGTAGACCTTCTTGTTGTTGCTTAAGGTGCTAGAAGTAAAAAAACAGATTTTAGGTGGAAACATTCTTTCAGTCACCAGTCAGAAAAGTGATTATGTGCAGACAAAAAAATTCTGTATTATTCACCCTGACCCTATTAATCCACATACAAATAAAGGGCTCCTTTTTGAGTACTTATTTAAAAAGATCACATAAATTCACATAATCCCAAACTCTTCGTTACGAAACATTTCTGAGTGACTTTGCTCCAAATAGCCTATGTACGTATTTTTTTTCAAATCAGAATTAGCATCCTTGTAAAAAATGGTCTGATTATGCTAATAAAGCATAATGACATTTACATTTATTAATAGGTTCATTGATTGATTGTTTGAACAATTGATTGATACAAGAGGCGATCAATAAATTTTGCAAGTGATGCTCAATCTCAGAAAATATTTGGTGTCATGTCATTAAACTCGTGGAATTATAATTCTCTTCTAATAATACCCTGGAAATTATATGATATATAATGCTGAAATAATGACAAGAAAGATGTAACTTGAAATATCTAAAATTGTATTTCATCTGATTCTACGCGAGTGTCACTCGCGAAATTTATTGATCACCCCTTGTATATTAATGAGACTAACCTGTTTTATTTCTCCTTGCACTGAGTTGTCAACTTGATAACTTGACTCCACGTGTGACGTCACTAACTGGTTTTGCATACGGATCTGTGACATCAACTCATTAAGACGACCCTGGAATAAACAAACAATGAGATTTATATATGAATTGTACTTATAAAATGCAATGGTGTTATTCAATGAATGTGACATTTTAGCCATCTGGTTGACCAATGTGAAATGAATATTTTACCAATGTGACATAAGAATTTGACCCATGTGACATAAATATTTGACCCATCATGTGACATAAATATTTCACCCATCACGTGACATAAATATTTCACCCATGTGACATATATATTTGACTCATGTGAGTCAATGTAAATATATGTCACATGGGTCAAATATTTACGTCACATGGATCAAATATTTATGTCAAATGGATCAAATATTTATGTCACATGGATCAAATATTTATGTCACAAGGATCAAATATTTATGTCACATGGATCAAATATTTATGTCACATGGATCAAATATTTATGTCACATGGATCAAATATTTATGGCACGTGCACTGCCACATCAACACTGCATACAGCCAAGCTTAGCATTTATATAGGGTTCAGTATAATTATTCAGTATATTATTATGATTATAGAAAAGCCAATATTTAGAATACCATAATACATGTAATATACATCTCAGAGGCTTTTCTGTATTTCACTCAAATCAAAATAATTGATAGTTTTTCAGAACGTGATAATCTTCATGATCTTCTAAACGTAAAGAAACAAAAGACACAGTTATCAATCAATCAATCAATCTAGCGGTTCCTAAAAACATATTAGTACTAATTACATCTATATTTCAATTCAATGTCATAAGTACATTATTTCATGTTTATAGATATATTAATGAGTATGACATTGAATAAATATCACAGTCATTAATCAGCAATCACCATTGTACAGTGTACTTTAATCACAGTCATAAAGCCATTCACCTATTTTACTTTATCATTCTTAAATGGAATTGTATTGAATTATATGTTTGGTTTACTTACTTCAGCATATGTTGACTTGGTAAACTTTGATGAATTTTCATTGTATGAGATGGCAAAAAAATGATAAATGAATTTGAAATAAAAAATAAAAGGGCTCAATTTTGTCGTACCCTTCCATATATTTTTTATTTATACAGTTGCGCTAAACTTTTTTGTTCATTTACTGCAAATATTTCATCTGTAATCTGACATAGCCTTCCTTATTAATAGAAAAGATGAGAGAGAGGGGTATGGAGGTTCATATAACTGGGCCAGGCTGGTTTAGTTTCATTAATCCTATGCATTTCAATGATAAATCTATTATATGTTCAACAAATCACAAATTAATAAATCAAATTTGATATGCAACATATTAAATATGACATTTTACAAATATATAAGTGTGAGTTAGCCCATGCTTATTCTAAACTTCCCAATAACCAAACTCTTCAATATTCTATGGGTCTGTCATATTAGGAATGTTGGAAAGGTGCAGAAACTCTAAGCAGAAACTCTTAGTTGCGTAAAAATCATAAATCATAATCATATACCAGAAATCATACACTAAATAAATAAATCATAAATCATAAAAGGGAGTAAAATAAACGTGACTGAAGATAATTTATGTATGGCTGTATGAGCATAACGCTATATTTATTGGTAGTTTACGTGATAAGACAGCATGATTATGCTAAGTACATGAGCATATTCAGTATAATACCACAATTACTGCAGTAACCAAAACGCATCCACAAATCAAGGTTTTCCTACACTTGATAGGAGAGAAAATAAGCAGAAGTCGGAACAGCTTACTAAACGTAAGTGAAACTTGACGACTAAATAGCATACAGGACACTTCGTTTACATACATAAACTTGCATAAAAAGGACGAAAATTTCAGGTAAATCGAGTGACAGAACAAACGCACTTCGATGATGAATCCAATTTTAAGCATCAGTTTTGTCCTGATGTGTACAGCTGTTTGTGCAACTGTAGCAGAGGAGAGTGCCTGTTTAGGGGAGGACACCAGGTAAGACATTTTCAAAATCTTACCTGGGCAACACTTGACATATAAAAAGCGGTGGGGAGCGTGGGTGGTGGGCTTCAGTAAAGTAGTTTATGGCTTTGGGGATATCGGCTTATTTTGTTAAGTGCTTTTTGACCCCGAATGTTTTGCTTAATTTAAGTAAAAAAAATTGGATTCATACAATTTCTTGTTACACATCATATTCAGTTCATATTCCATACCATGCCCTTCCACTCCTATTTGGATCTAGATTACCATTAATGTAAGGTAGGCCTACCATATTCTGCAGAAAAAGATTTCTCACGACTGAAAGGTCTATTCAGCTGAGAAGATTGCCTTATCAATTTTTTAGTTCGTTAAGGAGAGCGGTTAATCTTGAAAAAAGATGGTCTACTATGTCTGGGTTTATTCACTCGTCAGATCATATCACAATTTTCTAGATCTTATAAAATTCTCTAATTTCCCAAAAAATCTTTTTGAATAAACTAACTTCCTCTTCTTTAACCAGTTTACTGAAGTCTCATGTCCATTCCATTTTGCATATTGTTATCTTTTTTCGCTTTTAACATGACAGAATGTGACGTTATTGAGAAAAATGTGCACATATGGAAATTCTTTCGTCCTCCACATTTGCTAACAAAATCAACAATATGTTAGAAAACTAGAGTCGATGAGCAAAAGAAACATGTATGATTTATTTAGAATTGGTTATCTTAACAAAAAATGAGCAAAAAGGTAGTTCAGTCGACAGATTCTATTTTTCAATCTCTATGACGTCACAATTTGATATGAAAAAAATTAATACTTGTCAAATATTGTTTAAGTTATGAGCATTCAAAATTGAAAAATACTCAAAATATAAAGTGTCGAAATCGTAAATATGACAGATTTTTAGTGAAATAACTATTTTTTTAATAATAAAAATGAGCAAGAAATGTGAAAGGATTGCACTCAATTTTAACTTCTTAGAAGTCAAGCTTACATCATGTACTTCTACAAAATCATTAAAACCATGTATGAAAATGCCACGGCGTGTGTAAAACTTAATCATTCAACTTATACAGAATCGTTTTCATGTGCTAGGGGTGTAAAACAAGGAGACTCGCTCAGTCCATTATTATTTAACATATATATAAACGATATTATAACAAAGTTTGATAATGTTGGGAAATCTCCGTTCCTTGAAACTGAACATGTTACTAGTTTGCTATTTGCAGACGATTTAGTCATATTTGATACTAGTAAAGAAGGAATGCAGCTTAAACTAAACACTCTTGAATCCTTCTGTATTGACTGGAAACTTGAAATTAACATTGACAAAACAAAAATTATGAAATTCTGGAAATGTGGCAAAGTTTGTCAAGAACGATTTCAAATAAATGGTAAGAATATACAAAATGTTCAAAGGTATACATATTTGGGAATTGTCTTAAGTGCTTCGGGATCTTTTAAACCGGCCCAACAAAACATAAAAGAAAAAGCAAATAAAGCCATGTTTAAAGTTTATCAATTGACAAGCGGCACAGAGATGAAGTCTTCACTGAAAATGAAATTGTATGATCAACTTATCAAACCCGTCGCTTTATACGGTTCGGAAATATGGTGTAATGATATATATACCAAGCATGACTGCCAAACGATGTACGTTTGGCCCTAAAAGTGCATCAGAACTAATAAAATCCTCCTATTGTACATCATCCTCTTTTTACTGTCTTCATACCAGAAATGAACAAATGTTCAGGGAATGTAAAATTAAATGTAATGAATTAAACTTACTTAATAGATGACGAAATATTTTTTGAACTTTATAGAAATAGCTTAAAATGATATGTTACCTTATTATACCTTATTATCTTATATTACGGAGAATCAAAGATACATTAATGCAACACTGTAAAAACACACGTGCAGGGCCTTTTTGCGACGTGTCAATTACAAGAATCAACATAAAATTGAAATGCACAAACAATGAACAATAAAGACTATTTATAAGTGTAAACTAAACAAAATAAGAACATTCAATATACACAATGGCTATCATTTACCATATAGTTTTTCATCTTAAGCAAATAAAATAAATCTTATCCAACTAAATCATTGAATAACTAACTATGGTGTTTAACTCAGACATGTTATACAATACAAAATTAATAGTAATAATGGTATTTACTATGCTATTTAAGGTAGTACTTCAGTATTATACAAAATTGATAGTAATAATGGTATTTACTATGCTATTTAAGGTAGTACTTCAGTATTATACAAAATTAATAGTAATAATGGTATTTACTATGCTATTTAAGGTAGTACTTCAGTATTATACAAAATTAATAGTAATAATGGTATTTACTATGCTATTTAAGGTAGTACTTCAGTATTATACAAAATTAATAGTAATAATGGTATTTACTATGCTATTTAAGGTAGTACTTCAGTATTATACAAAATTAATAGTAATAATGGTATTTACTATGCTATTTAAGGTAGTACTTCAGTATTATACAAAATTAATAGTAATAATGGTATTTACTATGCTATTTAAGGTAGTATTTCAGAATTATACAAAATTAATAGTAATAATGGTATTTACTATGCTATTTAAGGTAGTACTTCAGTATTATACAAAATTAATAGTAATAATGGTATTTACTATGCTATTTAAGGTAGTATTTCAGAATTATACAAAATTAATAGTAATAATGGTATTTACTATGCTATTTAAGGTAGTACTTCAGTATTATACAAAATTAATAGTAATAATGGTATTCACTATGCTATTTAAGGTAGTACTTCAGTATTATACAAAATTAATAGTAATAATGGTATTTACTATGCTATTTAAGGTAGTACTTCAGTATTATACAAAATTAATAGTAATAATGGTATTTACTATGCTATTTAAGGTAGTACTTCAGTATTATACAAAATTAATAGTAATAATGGTATTTACTATGCTATTTAAGGTAGTACTTCAGTATTATACAAAATTAATAGTAATAATGGTATTTACTATGCTATTTAAGGTAGTACTTCAGTATTATACAAAATTAATAGTAATAATGGTATTTACTATGCTATTTAAGGTAGTACTTCAGTATTATACAAAATTAATAGTAATAATGGTATTTACTATACTATTTAAGGTAGTACTTCAGTATTATACAAAATTAATAGTAATAATGGTATTTACTATGCTATTTAAGGTAGTACTTCAGTATTATACAAAATTAATAGTAATAATGGTATTTACTATGCTATTTAAGGTAGTACTTCAGTATTATACAAAATTAATAGTAATAATGGTATTTACTATGCTATTTAAGGTAGTACTTCAGTATTATACAAAATTGATAGTAATAATGGTATTTACTATGCTATTTAAGGTAGTACTTCAGTATTATACAAAATTAATAGTAATAATGGTATTTACTATGCTATTTAAGGTAGTACTTCAGTATTATACAAAATTAATAGTAATAATGGTATTTACTATGCTATTTAAGGTAGTACTTCAGTATTATACAAAATTAATAGTAATAATGGTATTTACTATGCTATTTAAGGTAGTACTTCAGTATTATACAAAATTAATAGTAATAATGGTATTTACTATGCTATTTAAGGTAGTACTTCAGTATTATACAAAATTAATAGTAATAATGGTATTTACTATGCTATTTAAGGTAGTATTTCAGAATTATACAAAATTAATAGTAATAATGGTATTTACTATGCTATTTAAGGTAGTACTTCAGTATTATACAAAATTTATAGTAATAATGGTATTTACTATGCTAATTAAGGTAGTACTTCAGTATTATACAAAATTAATAGTAATAATGGTATTTACTTTGCTATTTAAGGTAGTACTTCAGTATTATACAAAATTAATAGTAATAATGGTATTTACTATGCTATTTAAGGTAGTACTTCAGTATTATACAAAATTAATAGTAATAATGGTATTTACTATGCTATTTAAGGTAGTACTTCAGTATTATACAAAATTAATAGTAATAATGGTATTTACTATGCTATTTAAGGTAGTATTTCAGAATTATACAAAATTAATAGTAATAATGGTATTTACTATGCTATTTAAGGTAGTACTTCAGTATTATACAAAATTAATAGTAATAATGGTATTTACTATGCTATTTAAGGTAGTATTTCAGAATTATACAAAATTAATAGTAATAATGGTATTTACTATGCTATTTAAGGTAGTATTTCAGAATTATACAAAATTAATAGTAATAATGGTATTTACTATGCTATTTAAGGTAGTACTTCAGTATTATACAAAATTTATAGTAATAATGGTATTTACTATGCTATTTAAGGTAGTATTTCAGTATTATACAAAATTAATAGTAATAATGGTATTTACTATGCTATTTAAGGTAGTACTTCAGTATTATACAAAATTAATAGTAATAATGGTATTTACTATGCTATTTAAGGTAGTACTTCAGTATTATACAAAATTAATAGTAATAATGGTATTTACTATGCTATTTAAGGTAGTATTTCAGAATTATACAAAATTAATAGTAATAATGGTATTTACTATGCTATTTAAGGTAGTACTTCAGTATTATACAAAATTAATAGTAATAATGGTATTTACTATGCTATTTAAGGTAGTACTTCAGTATTATACAAAATTAATAGTAATAATGGTATTCACTATGCTATTTAAGGTAGTACTTCAGTATTATACAAAATTAATAGTAATAATGGTATTTACTATGCTATTTAAGGTAGTATTTCAGAATTATACAAAATTAATAGTAATAATGGTATTTACTATGCTATTTAAGGTAGTACTTCAGTATTATACAAAATTAATAGTAATAATGGTATTTACTATGCTATTTAAGGTAGTATTTCAGAATTATACAAAATTAATAGTAATAATGGTATTTACTATGCTATTTAAGGTAGTACTTCAGTATTATACAAAATTAATAGTAATAATGGTATTTACTATGCTATTTAAGGTAGTATTTCAGAATTATACAAAATTAATAGTAATAATGGTATTTACTATGCTATTTAAGGTAGTACTTCAGTATTATACAAAATTAGACAAGACAAAAGAATGGTCATTTGGAGACTTGAAACTGAGTGAAGTGCATTCCTACAAATATTTAGGTTATATTTTCCACAAAAACCTTAGAGACAATGACCACATGAATGAAACAGCCCTAAAAGCAAAAAAGCTTAATGGCTATATCAAATACACATTAAATAGACATATGAATGTTAAACGAATTGACTTTGGAAACCAACTTTATAAAAGTAAACTCTTATCCAGTGTCCTTCACTCATGTGCTATATGGGCTTCGGACAATAAATCTTATGAAACGCGCCTTAAGTCAATGCAATATAATGCAGGCCGCGCTATATTTGATATTAAAGGCACACCAGCATACGAAGCCATTGTGTCTGATTTGGGTTGGACCCCCATGAAATATACGGTTTTAAAAAGACAAGTTGAGTACTATATTTATATCAAATCTAAAAAACCAACTTCACTTAATGCAAGACTATTAGCTAGCATGGAGAAAAGGTTTGAAATGGGCAAAGGGAACCACTGGAACTATGTTAAACATATTGATGCTACCCTCAAACTGATGCAATTAAGCGGTATCTCTGAAACTGCCGAAAATATTTCGTACAGTTACCATAAACAGATACTAGATCTCTCAAAAAAGTACATAAATGATGGTATTTTGGAAAAAAGTAGTCTCGACAAATACCATCAACTTAATCTGATCCCAAAAAAGGGAAGAGCAACATACCTTTATAATGATTATGACTTCCAGTCGTCACGCATAAAATTTTTAGCACGTGCTGGTAAGTTTAATCTAAACTCAGAGAAATCCAAATGGAAAAATCTTAACCCACCCATTTCACCCTACTGTGAAGAGTGCCCAGACAAAATCGAAACCCTGGAGCACAGACTTTTTGAATGCCCCTCTTATGAAACTGCGAGAAACAAGTTTTATTTGGAAATGAAAAATCAAGTCCCTAGTCCAGTTTTAGAAGTATACCTTGAGTCAGAAACAAGCGATAAATTAAAATGGATAATAGGCGATGAGGCCAGGATTATAGGTGGACATGATATTAGCGTCACGGTAGATAGATTAAATAAAATATTACTGAAGAACATCTTCTGATTTTATATTTTTTAATGCATAATGGATGTTTTTAAAGTGATTTTAGTTAAGTTTCTTTAAGCCATGTATACAAAGTTTTAACTTTTGAGTATAGACGCACCCATTGAGAGTGCCACTGTTACAAATAGTGTAGTGTCTAAATAAATAAATAAAAAATAAAAAATAGTAATAATGGTATTTACTATGCTATTTAAGGTAGTATTTCAGAATTGATTGCACCTTTTCCAATGAAGTAGATTTTCTTGAAAAAACAAGGTAAAAGATATATTGATGGATAACAAAATATGTGAAAATAGAATGATCGACTGTTTGATTATTTCTTAAAAAATCATTTACTTCATTTTTTTCAATTACAAAAAGTTCCACAATGCAGATTTTCTTTACAAAAGTATTTATAGTAAAATTTACATCATCGCTTTCCACTGGGTCTAAAGAACCAGTGGCAAAAACGGTCAATTTGTTTCTCCCATTCATATGTGATGATTCATGGCCCGATTGTTAAGTCCACGGACCCAATCAGAATGCTCTGCTTTGTCATGTGACAAAATATTGAAAATGTTTAGACGGACTCAATAAAATTTGCATCATTGATTGGGCGATTGGTTTTGTGCCCTCTCACGTTACTCTGCAGGCAACTGCCAGGAGGAGCAATATTGAGAGTGAACTCCGCTGGGGTTTATTTACACAGTGGTTGGTTAAATCGGGCAGATTTATCAAGGTGATGTAGGAACAATCGAAACTTTGTCTTGATAAATCAGCACGAGTGTGTCATTTAAAAAGTGATCAAGAAAATGTATTTTGGTTCAAAAATGAAAAAAATATATAAAATGATGATCTTGGTAGAGATGTTCCCCAACATCACTGAGATTTTTCAATACTGACAAAAACTCCCCTGACATTTCTTTCACACATCAACCATGAATCAAAATACACAAAAATCTCTGATATTTTTAGTTCTTTTTGACCCCACTTTAAATTTAACTGACATGCTGGGAAAATGAACTAATTTTCCTGACATTTCTAGGTGTTTAAACCAGACATGTGGAGAAGACAAAAAATGTCCAAATACATTTACGTGTAGAAAAGGCATTTGCTGTCGGTTCAAGACATACCGAGATTGTGGAGCCATCATGAGACATGCGTGCAAAAACATCCCAAAGAAGTGTCGAGGAGGAGGTTCAGAAAGCTGTCCCGAATCGACAAAATGTTACCAGGCAAAATCTAATCTCTTTAGTATGTGCTGTCCTATTAATGCATCATGTACAGATGAGACCGGTGTTGACCACAGCCCGACAGATGAACCATGGATAAGTAATTACGATAAATGCAGTAAATGTCAATGTCTCAAGAATGGAATGATAAAATGCAAATCCAGAAGGAAAAGTAAGTAACAAGGCATTAACATGTAAAATGTCTCTACCTGCCATTTGTTACATATACTGAACACCAAACTTCAACCACTTTCTCAAAGACTTGAAGACCATAACAATATGTCACCACTTGTGGTGATGACAAAATGATAATATATATTATTCTAGTAGCGGAAGCAAACAATAGTTTTCTGCATGAGAAAAATGCAAGTTCTGAGCAGAAATTCTGCATGAAAAAGTCGATTTCTGCGATAAATTCTGCAAACAACGGCTTCATTTGATCTATCACGAAATTGCAGGGAATTCAAATCTCATAACATTTTAGATGTAATCTTTAAGTGCAAAAGCAGGAAGTTGGAATATTTTAAACAGATTTCAAATATAACTCTAATTTTGTATTTTTTTTAATCATTTTTGTATCATTTTCTTAATTCGGACGGAATCTTCTTTGATTATAATGTAAGATAGCATTGAATGAATGGAACTTTAGCGTAAAGTAAACTTTGTTAATAATGATAAATTGACTGAATCATTGGTAGATATTGACAACAAGTATTATGCAAGTTCACAGAAAAATGCTCTCATTTTAATGATTTTGGGATATTTTCCGATGAAATTTTCACATAATGTGTAATAAAATACATTTTCTTATTGATTCAATAAATATCAGCATCTCTAGCTGTATTGGTCAAAAAAATAATGGTTACTATGGTAACTTGACATTTGGGTAGATGGGGCACTATTTATGTCACACAATTCACCATTACAGAAATCTATCAATATGTGCAAATGTATGATTTTTGAAATATACAGTATTCACTTTGTGAATTTATTGATTCAATAAATATCAGCATCTCTAGCTGTATTGGTTAAAAATAATGGTTACTATGGTAACTTGGGTAGGTGGGGCACTATTTATGTCACACAATTCACCATTACAGAAATCTATCAATATTTGCAAATGTTTGAATTGAGATCTACAGTATTCACTTCATGCATAAAATGCTTGTTCAATACTCCAAGCCCGTTACTCCGAAACCCATTAAGCCGAAACCAAACTTTATGAGAATGATATGCTGACGTATTTTTAGCTTTTGCCAATATCATGCCATGCCTTTTGGAAATTTAATGGCAGAAATGTATTCTGTTGTCCAAAGCTCTCTCAATTTGTATTCCATTAAGACGGACAGATATGAAGAAATTTTGACTTACCAACTAAGCATTGTGATCCAAATAAATTAAAAATTTTCCCTTTCGTGGTTCACTCTTTAATCAAAAAGGTACGGAAATATGTCCTTAAAAAGCCCTCGAAAAGGCCAAAATTTAATTTGTCAATATTTTCCCATCATACATTTCACATAGCTATTTGCATGAAAGTTTTAAATCAAACTAATTACCCAATTTTGTTTTTACACCTGCACGCTAAATAAAACAATGACACCACCGGAAGAATTGTTCTTTGTCATTGCTTTAATGGTCAGTATACCAAGTATAATCAAGAAAAGCTTGTACAATGGACAAAAAAATTCGAAAACGAGTACTATAGTTTTGCTTATGGACACAGATCCCATTGACCTTGTTAATAGCGATGCATCTTCTTTGGTCAACTGCTCACTTGTGTGTGGGTTTTTAACATAACTATAATGCAATTTGAAGATGAATATTCTTATTTGGTTGTTGCATCGATGTTGCAATTTGTAATGTGGTAAGATTGAAATGAACATGTTGAAAGTCAAATAAATTAAATCATTTTTTCCAATATATTTTTTCCAGAATATTTTCTCACTTTTCAATCTTTGTTTTCACCAAGTTATGAATCAATACAATGAAAAAAATATCTGCTATATTAAGATTAGTAACGGATCAATCGAGAATTAAATTCAAACTTAAAACACGTACTGGTAAAAGATTTGTAAAACATGCACTTAAAGAAATTACAAAGAAAACAAATATGGTAGTGGGAACAATCTGGTCTTCTTGAATCGCTTGTACTTTCCCTTTGTTTGGCGCCTGTACCCAGTATCTAACAACAGTTCCAAAGTAGACAAGGGAAGAGAGGTCATGGGTCTTGAAAAGAGACTAAATTTGTCAATATTTTGACAGCTTGTCACCGCTGTGAGGTCACCATCGATGGATCTGTGAAACGATTTAAAAGAGGGGAAGTTTATTGGAAAAACTGCAAAAAATTTACGTGTATATCTCCGAATCGCAGTGTTGCTGTGGGACCTTGTGGAAGTGGTAAAAAAGGTAATAATCCATTTTATTGCAGTCATTGGGAACGTAAGCAAGCTATACAGGCTCGTATAACCAGCTTACATATATTTCCATGACATTACAATGACGTCGTCATGTTTCATTTCTACCAAATTCCAATCACACCAAAAATGTTTGACACCATACAAACACACTACCCTTCCATGTGACCACGTTTAAAAGGGAAACAGGGTACAGGTAAGTTGCAAATGGAGGACGTGGCTTTAATTCCATATTTCTGAACGTAAAATACATTTTACATTTATTTCTAGTGGTCTACCAGACATAGAATTGATTCATCAAGCAGTTTGTAGAATATTGTTGGCAAAAAAACATTATAGGCAAAGATAGATAATAGTGGACGCATTGAAGCAAACCTCGAATGCAATACACGATACATTTCAGTAAATCAATCAACGTACAGGGAGCATGCAAGTTTCCCTTCGAAAATGTTACATTGATATGTAACAAAAAAAAACAGTTAACTGTTATTTAAACTGCGTGTCATCGTCTTATATGTGGATACGTTTTCCAATATGTTATTCAACTGTATTTTTGTGAATTAATTGTTTTTCTAAAATCTTAAGATGCATAAAAAGTCGTCCAAGAAATGTATCTTTACTTTGCTGTAAGGCATAACATATTGTGAAACATTTTTACAATAATAGAGAAATAAAACGTCATATCAGCGCTACAGCAAATCGTGAAGAACAAAATGCTCTCAAGTCGTGGCATGATAGTATTTTGAACATAATATTTTAAATGATCGGTTTTTGAGGACGGTAGTGAATTAGACCATTCAAGGGGTTATATAGAAAGATTCTTCACATTAATGACTAAAATGCATATACGACGTCCTAAAAGCCTGTGTTTAAATCTACAAAATAATGTTTACTTTATTTGGATTAAAAAACAATTGATGACAACTTCAAAGCATCAACAGTCGGCCTATTTGGCATTATTTTCACTGTTTGCAACATAAATGTACATGAGATCGGGACATAGTATGTCTGTATAATCAGCCTACTTTCTCGCTCCCTGTACTATTGAACAATTTACATTCCTTGTACCCTGTATTGATCAACTTTTGGAACTGTGTACCATGAACTATGACACATCAAATATTTTATACTATTTACATTCTTTCTTCAACTATCATATAACTTGGAACATGGACTTCACTACTGCACCACTGAAGTTCAGCGAATAGCAATATTGACTCACTCGGAGCACCAAACTTATCATCCTTTTGACTAAGCAGTCAATATACTCAAAAGCGACCTGGTTGAAAACCCCAAAATTCACGCATGCGCGATCGAGGTAGGGTAGTGTGACAAAGCAAACAAACAAATCAACATTCAAATAAAATAGCCATGATTACAATTGGACGTGTTACAGGTTTGCAAAAACTTATATTTTCATCAGCAGGCAAATATAGCTTTACATCCCGCTCTGAGTGGGCAGATATAGTATATCTGCCTGTGATGTTGGTATATTGGCCTTGGGATAATCCCAATATCCTGAACCTCATATAGGATAATCTCTATATATACAGGGTGGGCCAAAAAAACAATACACAAGTTTAAAGATGAATATCATATGATATATGAGCCTGGCCATAGGAAAACCGGTCTTATCACAAAAATTAAAATTGTGCTACAAAGCCAAACATGTGACCAAATTGAAGAGGAAAATGTGCTAAATTAAAATCTGACTTTTTGGTCTATATATGCAAGGAAAAATCGTTAAGTCATAAGTCATGGCTCATTTGAAAGGTCTTTTTGTGCTTTTTAAGATAAACAAAAAAGAAAATATTGAAAAATCTGTGATGAGACCCCTTTTCCTGTGGCCTGGCTCATATGTTAAACCATGCCATTTATTATATATTATTCGAAAGATAAATCATTTCTAAACAAGATGACATCAACTGACTGAAAAACTTTTGTTTTCCTGTGGAGTTAGAGGCTAAAATTGACACTAGGGGTGTCATGAGCGACCAAAAAATTAATCACTGCGGATTTCAACATTCTGGAAAATGGAGAGAAATTTGTATTTATGGCACATTCAAAATAGGTACATTCATACAAGTTTAGTGCAAAATTCACCCATATTACTTAATATATCTCTTTGATTAACTGTGTATTATTCTTAAACAAATATAATGATTCAGTCAAGCATATTGAGTGCAGCAATACGTAGGAGGAGTTTTGATTTTTTGTCATTCATGACACCCCTGGTCTCAATGTTAGCCTCTAACTCTATAAGAAAAGAAAGGTTATTCAATGGGATGGTGTAATATTGTTATGAGATGATTTATCTTTAAAATGATATATAATACATGGCATATGATTTAACATATAGCATAGAATATTCATCTTAAAAATTATGTATTGGTTTCTTTTGGCCCACGCTGTATAAATCAGTTTTGTTAGTATTAAATCAGTTTCATTTGTAATTCCGTAATAAATCAGTTTTGTTTGTATGTAATAAATCAGTTTGGTTAATATGTAATAAATAAGTTAATATGTTTTGAAATTGAAACCCTTTACACAGGTCCTCCTGTGTTTACCCCCCTTGCAACGACGAGGGGAGGATGCATCAGACAGGCTCGAATAACAATCTGTTACTACTCTGCCAGTGTGGTTGGCCATAGAGCAGAATGCTCCAATGCTGTCGACCATGAAATAGAGATCATTACCAGTGCAACACACAGAGATGCTTGCCCAAAACCAGGAAAACGCATCTCAGAAGGTACCAGTGTTATTATAGGTAAGGAAAAGAGGACTCTAGCTTTCAGACTGTGCCACAGCACCACAGTTTTATTCAGTTCTAGCCATACCTTATTAACCACAACACAACAGTTTTATTCAGTTCTAGCCATACCTTATTTACCACAACACCACAGTTTTATTCAGTTCTAGCCATACCTTATTTACCACAACACCACAGTTTAATACAGTTCTAGCCATACCTTATTTACCACAACACAACAGTTTTATTCAGTTCTAGCCATACCTTATATACCACAACACCACAGTTTTATTCAGTTCTAACCATGCCTTATTTACCACAACACCACAGTTTTATTCAGTTCTAGCCATACCTTATTTACCACAACACAACAGTTTTATTCAGTTCTTGCCATACTACCTTATTTACCACAACACCACAGTTTTATTCAATTCTAGCTATACCTTATTTACCACAACACCACAGTTTAATTCAGTTCTAGCCATACCTTATTTACCACAACACAACAGTTTTATTCAGTTATAGCCATACCTTATATACCACAACACCACAGTTTTATTCAGTTCTAAACATACCTTATTTACCACAACACCACAGTTTTATTCAGTTCTAGTCATACATTATTTACCACAACACCACAGTTTTATTCAGTTCTTGCCATACCTTATTTACCACAACACCACAGTTTTATTCAGTTCTAGCCATAACTCATTTACCACAACACAACAGTTTTATTCAGTTCTAGTCATACCTTATTTACCACAACACCACAGATTTATTCAGTTCTAGCCATACCTTTTTTACCACATCACCACAGTTTTATTCAGTTCTAACCATAACTTATTTACCACAACACCACAGTATTATTCAGTTCTACCCATACCTTATTTACCACAACACCACAGTTTTATTCAGTTCTTGCCATACCTTATTTACCACAACACCACAGTATTATTCAGTTCTAGCCATACCTTATTTACCACAACACCACAGTTTTATTCAGTTCTTGCCATACCTTATTTACCACAACACCACAGTTTTATACAGTTCTAGCCATACCTTATTTACCACAACACCACAGTTTAATTCAGTTCTAGCCATACCTTATTTACCAGCCATGGTTGTGGCCGTATGCTGAACTTTATGTTTTCTATATTTTAAATTTTAAAAAAATCAGATTTTTACAAAACCTTTCACAATAGAACCATTTCCAAATTGCTCCTGGTGTTAAGGGTTAAGCCCTGCCCTATATGAGTCTAAAATACATTTTGCATTCAATTCTGAAAAGTAAAATTTGGCAGGCTCACAGTGAAAAAACTGATTTCTCCGAAACAAGACATTTGTTAAGACAAACGGGAGTTTTCATTCAGTGGCGCAGCATGGGTATTTTGTGAGTGTACGCCACGAATGAGCGAGTGAGCATGAAAATGCCATGGCACACTCTCACAATTTAGATAAAAGTTTATTTTTTTATATCCTCTGAAAGGAGACGGTCACTAAAATCCCAAATCTTAATTGGGCAATATACAAGGGTCGTTCGAAAAGTCTTGCATGACAGCTTCTCAAGAGAAGAGATTTTATCATTTTTATGTGAAATTTCATACAGATATAGTATTACCCTTCTTACAAACTGATATGAAATGTCAGGACCATAAGCAATATACTTCCTAAGATACATTGACTTAAAATTTTGAACCAATGGCCCCATGGTACATATGACGTCATCAGATTGAATTGATTTTGTGAATGCCTTTATAGACTGAAATGATTCCTTCAGTCTTTGTTCTTTCAGCTGTTAATGAGGTTATATCATAACTAATTTATATTTATTCTAAATATTAGAGGTGTGCACCGATGGCACATTACTTAATCGATCAACGAAACATATTAATCGATTAATCATCGGTTAATCGACCCCAACATAAACTGATAAAGTATGCATGGATATCTGACACAAACTTGATTTTTCGGCAACTTTCTTGTGGGCGATAAATCGATAATTCGAGAGTTATATTTTCACTCACCTTTTCTCAAGTTTTCCTTGTAAATTCCCATTCAGGTGTATTGGTAGTATCAAGGTGTATATTTCTGTATTTCAGACGATTTTTACAATAAAAGATTCTATTTCAATATTTACTTTTTTTCGTTATCACGCATTGCATTGTGGGTGAAACTTAAATGGAACCAGGGGTCCGTTACAAGATACTTAAAACAACAGTGATGAAAATATTATAAAATATTATTAAATAATATACAATATACAATACAATTTTATTAATGATATCTTCAGCGGCAAGTTTAGAAACGGGTCCCGACTTTCTGACTAGAAATGAAGTTATTGACGTCGGAGTATTTATTTTCAGAGTTGACCCATGTGCATTTGACAAGTGGTAGCTTAGAGTAGATGTACTGTTTGAATATTTGTATTTAGTATTGCAGAGCACACATTTGATGCAATCATCGTTTTCTTTGTTGAAATATTTCCATACATAACTTCTTTTTCCTGGTGTTGTCACCATTTTTCGACTGCTTCTGAACTGAATAAAATTGGGACGGTTGCATTCAAATTATACACCACTATTCACCTTGAATTTGATCGCATTCTACTGAATAAACCAATGGGATGTATTGGATTAGTATTAAACTCAAAAACAACAAAGGCCACAAGCGTCAGTCTTAGTGTAATTAGTTTGGTAGTTTGGTAGTGGCAACCTGACATTTACTGCTCAATCAGTCAGTGACATCACGTAAGCTTACTCGCGGCGGGATATTGAAGATTAACTTTTTGAGAATCAGTTAATTGAGTAATAAGAATATTTTCTATTTAATGCGTGTCGATCAATTAATCGTGATCGATTAAAAATTCACACCTCTACTAAATATACAGTACTTAACATATAGTCTTCCTTTTCAGTAATGCATTACGTCCAGTCCATAAGGAAATGTCTAAACCATCCTACCTATAGGATATCAAGCCCTCTCATAAGTACAGCTACTCTCAATACATTTCCCTTCTCTTATTCCATCTTGAAATACTAAGCAGACCCTATTGGAGTCATATTCTCCAATATTTCCTGAATTCATGAGAACTTTGATAACATTCACAAAATCAGATGATTTATTCAAGATGTTTGAAGAGTATGTTTACAGTCATTCTTTGACATAACCAAAGAAAACAAGCTGGGAAATATTGAGATAAGATTCACATTTTCCATTTAGAACAATACTAGAAATTGTTTACATTTAAAGTGACAGTTTATGAAAGTAAATTTAGCGTGCTTAGTATCATTGATCTTTATGTGTTACTAGTTATCTTTTACAAAACGATATGGACCATAGCGTCATCACCGTGGTTACTATAGCAACTGTAAAATGTTAAGTAGTATGCGTATATACATGAAACTTCGACAGTGTAAGGGAAGATATGGGCACATACATACCAACTATGAACAAGATTGGTCCATTATTCTCACAATTAGACATATTTGTGCAAAACTTTTTGAGCAACCCTTGTAAATAAGTAAAAAGTTCACTCTTTATATAGACTAGAATCAGAGGGTTGAAAATATAATGACATCTTATATTTTGATGAGCCGGCAATTCATGTTTACCAGTTGAAAGGTAAAGGGATTTTAAATTGATACTGAGATTTAACAAGAAGAAATAGGTGTCAAAATGTGTTTTTAAGTAAAAAATGTTTTTTTGCAGAAAGCTTTAAAAAAAAAAAATTGAAAATTTGTTTTAGTACAAACAGTTTCATCAACTATAAAAATAGGACCCACGGTCCTGTGCTCACACAGTTTGGAACCTTCAGAGGAATGTATATCCTGACTTTCAAACAAAAATATTGATTTGGATTTATAGTCTCGAACTTTGAGAAACTTAGACAGCACAGTTGTGTGACCTAGTTTGATGACCTTTGACTTTGACCTTGAAAATTGTACTTATTTAGAGCTCAGTAAGGTCTTTTGTGATTAAGCTGACCAAAATTTACATCCAAAAATCAATTTGAAAAATCAAATTTTTTGACCTTTCAAAGGTCACTGAAGGTCAAGTAAAGGTCAACTCCTAAAACTAATGTCAGATTTGAACTCCTGGTTACTTGTAGATGCTTTTCAAAAAAAAATTGGTCAAATTGAAGCAAGTTGAAAAATAACTTATTTCTACTGTTTTTTGACGTCAAATATCTCAAAAACGGTAAAAATTTGATGCTGACATATATTGAGCAATGTGTGGGGAATGCTTTAATCTAGTTATGATGTAATTCATTGCAAGAAATGATCAAGTATAAGACAAATTTTGAGAAACTTGTCAATCACAAAACCTGCCATTGACTTTATACATAAGAAAGTTTCCTGAAAAAGACATAATTCCTACTTTTTGTCAAATTTTATAGAGTAAACACCAAAAACTTTAATTCCAAGAGCTTTGAAATCTTCAGAGGACATAAGTTGCATAAACAGCAACAACTACAAGTTATTTGAAAGTTCTACTTCAACGAAGTGTCTAGTATTTACAGAAAATTTGACTTTTTGACGTCAAAATCAGCAATTTCTTGGAAACCGGGCGAACTTGGGAAACGGCGATGATAGGTCAAATAGGCATTATGGATATGCATAAAATGTCTGTGGATATGACTCAATCCGAATAGCAGTTTTAATTTGTGCGGCCAATATTGACGGACGGACGGACGGACCAACGGACGGACGCCTGGTTGATCCCATAGGCTCACTGTGTGAGCCAAAAAGTGAAAACAAACCATATTTGATTGATTTTGGAGATTTTTGGGAGCTTTTAGGGAATTTGTGGTTGGCCTATAAGTGAAATAAATTGTCAATGTACTATCTATAAGCATTAATAATAATTAATAATAATAATAACAGTCCACCCGTGTAGCTCAGCGGTAGCGCAGGTACCTCTTACGCAATAGGTCCCGGATTTGATCCCCGGTTCAGGCAAGACTAAATTTGCTTGTTTGCGTGAAGTACTTTAGGGTGTTTGACTGAGCAGTCCGCAACTCATACAAAAGGCTGTGGTGTGTACTTATATGTCTATGTATAAGTGCACATAAAATAACACAGGTCTCCTTCAAGGAGGGGTTTCTGGGTCTATCTTCCATGTTAATTACGTAAATAACGACTAGACGAATTAGCACTTCACCAAGAAAAATAATTTATTTCAATTAAATTTTGTTACGTACTACAGTGTGTCATATTCCAGTTCATATGTTATATTACTTAAATGTTCATAGAAATAAAGAATTCCAATGTGGTGTATGTCACCAATGTATACTTTAATATATCCTCAAAACATTTGCAGATACGATGGTTGGTTTACTATTAATATAAAATGGATATTAAAGCATATAACGTAATGTGGAAACATATTTGTCACTATTACATCATCACAGCCTGTCATCAACTATTTTGAACAATGAGGTGGAGCAGGTCATTTTTACAAGTTTCAATGTTTCCGCACAATTTGTTATTTAACTGAAAACTACTTATTCCCAGATAAAATGAACAAGCGCAAACAGTAACAATTGTCAACCAGAACAACAGCAACGCCAAAGTGTATCAATCCCATCGAACAGAAATGGCTGGCATTTTTACAAACGAAGCGCAAATATCATAAAACAACACACCAGAAAGGCCACCATTTTCAAAATGGTTGCTCACTAGCCAAGAGTTATAGTAAAATATGTTAAAATGGCGGCCATTTTTCAAAATGGCCGCCTTCTACCAAAAGTGTCATAGGACAATGTGCAATGCTTATAGTATTCACATACCAAACATGAACAAAATCGCTCCACTACTTTTCGAGTTATAGTAAAATACGTTAAAATGGCAGCCATTTTGAAAAATGGCCGCCTTCTACCAAAAATGTCTTTAGACAGTGTGCAATGCTTATAGTATTCAGATACCAAATATGAACAAAATCGCTCCACTATTTTTTGAGTTACAGCAAAAATTGTAAAATGACGAGTAAAGGCCGCCATTTTTCAAGATGGCTGCCATGTGCTTCTTTAATATCTACATTTGTAGCATTATTAATGTCCTTTATAATTTTTTTACATTTAAAACATATTGCTATTACAGTTTTACATATTGCAGCTAAATTACTGTAAAATCGTCACTAAAATGGCCGCCATTTTGAAATAAGTGGCCATTTTGAAAATCGGCTTTCGAGCAGAACTTCTACCCCCATAGGGTATATGTGTACAAAATATGAACAAAATCGGGCCAACGGTATTTGAGTTATTGCCCGGACGGACGGACGTACGTACGGACGGACGGACGGCCTTCTTATATTTGATTAAAAAACTATGAACAATGGGGCAGAACAAACAATGGGGGTGGAGCAATAAAATCATTTTGGATAGCCTTAGCACATGTCTTCGCTAATATACCAAACATAGAACCGCCTGCATATTCTTAAACTAGACTATCTTCCTTAACTTTGAGTCAAATTATTGTACACAACTTGACTACTTGAAGTGGTGTAGAATCGAGAAATAAAATTATCTTACCGAAAACGCAGCCCGCAAGTTCTTCCATCTTGTTATGCTGATGTATCGTCAACATGTTCCTCTAGCAGCAGAAGATAGCTCACTTGTGAGAGAATGCTGCATGTCAAATAATTACTGATGCTAATGGAAGACTTCTTCATATCACTTTTAAATTTGGAAAACAGTCTTAGTGATCTTTACATTTCTTTGACATTAGGTCATTCATATTATCTAGTCTTACACCCTATGATGGATGTACCATTGAGAACCACATTACTGATTTGTGTGTACTCGTATATTGAAAGTGTATTGTGCCATTTTAACTGTTTTGGAGTAATACCTTTCCCATTGCTGAAAATGTCAATGTCTTATTCTGTTTGGATGTTATGCATCAATCATCTTTTCATCGTTCCAAGGGCATCGTTCCTTATATTGTAGACATTGTTATTTGTGTTGAGCATTTCATTATATATGTAGACATTGTTATTTGTGTTGAGCATTTCATTAAGTTAAACCATGTTGTTGACAGAAGACACATTCTGTTTTCTCTGTTTCATCCGATAGGTTGAGATGAGATTAATGATAGATCCCATTAACTGAACCAATGGCTAAAAAATCTGTTTTGATAGGTAGATGCTTGTGTTTGGTGATTATTGGTACTAGTTCAATAAAGTTAATCAAACCAGTTAAAGTACAATATGGATGAAACCAGTGTGCAATTACCAAAACACTGATTGGTTGGCAGGGCTCCAGCCTGGCACATTGACAAATTGACAACATTTATTTATGTAGTGATCAACACTGACTGTATAAGTTGAACTAGTTAAGAAATGAGGAATATTATTTTAATTAATTGTCAAATTAGTGCCTTTTGACACCTCGTTCACCATGTTAAATCTCACAAATCTTTTGTTATACATAAAGGAGTATTTTGATATATGTCTCTTGCCGGCTCGTTAAAATATAAGTACTTTCAAGTTCTAGAGGCTTTTATTTCATATGATTCTAGTCTAATATGATTTTGTATGTATATCAAGTATGATATTTGTGTGAGAGAGATGCAATAAAAAAAGTTAGAAAGAATATGAAAAAAATATATTTAACCAACACGTAACATCAATTATGTTCAATCAAAATATTGATTATTTAATAGGTGGAAATAAGGTGTCACCGGAATTTAACTACAAATGGATGGTACATTTGGATTTACCAACGGGAAGATGTGGGGGCTCCATTATCAGTCCTCGGCATATTCTGACTGCGGCTCACTGTGTCGATATGAGAAATGGAGAAATATTTACTGTATATACAGGGAAGCACAATCTTGCAGTGGATGAGCCATTTCAGCAAAATCGTACAGTTACTGTGACCCGGGGCTCAAATGTTATCATCCATGAAGGGTACAACAAAACCACATTAAATAATGACATTGCTATTATAGTCGTTGGACCTCCTTTATTGTTCAACGAAGTCACCCAGCCCATAAGTCTTCCAAGCAGTCATGACCTTGAACAAGACTCTTTCTGTGCAGTCATAGGCTGGGGCGTAGCTTCGGAAAGATCAATTACAGAATCAAACTCTGGTATTAATCCTGGTGCCACTCCTCATTCTAATGTCTTGTTAGAGGCTCCATTGAACAACTTTGAGTGTGATATACCATCAAATCCAGGTGCTAGAAGTGTCAATACAGAAACAATGTTTTGTGCAAGCGATTTCCCCAAGAACGCTAGAAAGAGGAAGTATGTAATGATGTATTTAATACTTTTTTTATTGATGTGATATAGATGTTTAAGAGGAGAAACTCATGAATTCTTTTTGAAATCAATGTAGAATGTTTGATATATACAGTGAATGCCTAATAGTGCTACGGCCAAGGCGATTTGTGTCCAAAACACCTAGATTCAATTTGACTTTAGATTCTTGTAGGGGACCCCAAGGCATGTAAAAAAAAGTTTGTGAACCCTTGCAAAGCAGGCTCAAAAGTGCTGAGTCAGCAAATTTTATCATTTTTGAGTCGGAAATTGACCATATGCCTGAAACTATTTAATATCTCATTTCAGGATGTTGCAATTGTAATGAAACATTGTCAATATATCAATAAGGCATGTATGAAGAATTCCTGAAAGTTTGAGTTTTAACCAACAAAATTTGGTCCAGATATGGGATAATTTGTCCCTAAAAGTACATAATTTCTCTTCAAAATTTCTTAATCAGTCGATAGCTAATCAGTCGTTTAAAAAACAGTAAGGGCCTATGGTGTATAAAACCTGATTTAAAACTTCACTGATGATGTTAGCAAATATTTCTTGAATAAGTTTCAATAAAAAGTACAAGTATCTATTTTTCTGATTTTTCTCTTTACCTTCCCCTAAAAATTCAAGAAAGGGGGCGTGGCACATAACGCTTCAGTTGTTGAACTTGTTGCTAGGGTCAAATAGAAAATATGTATCATTATAGCAAAAAGTGTTATTCTAAATAAATCTTAACACTATATGTGACATCATGATATGCTAAACATATTCATTATCTACCATTTTATATTTTTTACAGCTTATCATTGCCATATCCCATAAAACCGTTTAGGGTATGTGTGGTCAGCAATAGGAAATACATGTATGTGTACTTATAACATTTTTCAAAATTGTATTTCAGATGCCATTCTATCTTGATGTTGTTCATGTAGTTATGGTATGTTAAGAATGAATTATGATGATTATATATTATATTACACTCCCCATCATAAGTTTTGTAACTGGAAGTCCCCCTTTAAATCACTTATTAAAGCTTGTCATGCTGTTTGGCAATTTTAAACAAGACATCAAGCTTTTGGAATAAAGCAATAAGGAACAAAATCAAGGTTCAAACATTGACAGACCTTAATATGTAATCATATGAAAACTTGCAGTTGCCAACCTTATGGAGGGGGTGTATAAGTATTATATGTGTCATAAATTGTTTAGTTGTAGAAACCTGAAGCCAAAGGAAATAATAGTGCTTTACATTCTCTCAAAGACAGTGATAAATTCCATGGCACTGGGTTTGTTGACATTACTTATATGATATGTGACATTACGCGAGTTTGTTCTTAAGGCCAACATATTCCAATGGTGCAGAATCCCAGTCGCCCCATCAAGTCCCATCATGCCATATCGAGTCCCGAGAGACCTTGTTAACTTTGCCCTATGGAGTCTTATCGAGTCCCTCCATATCCCACAAAGTCCCACGGAAATGATGTAATTTAGTTTAGAAGGTAATGTCAAGGACATTTTGATTTCAAGTTGGCTGACACATCCCATGATCAAAAGTCCCGCAATACCCAATGGAAAGAATGAATAGGTTCATTGATTCTCAGTGGGACTTCGCCAAATGATACCCCATCGAATCTCATGGGACTCAATGGGGCTTCATGGGGTAAATCCCAAGGAATCCCAAGGAGTTCCATCGGGCAAAGCTCAATGAAGTCCAACGGATTTCCATGAGGTCTCACCCAATGTTGAATCAATGGAGGTCCCACCATGCTGTATTGGTGTTTGTTAGGCTTTAGCGAAGTAACTTCCTTTGTTTACATTCATCAAATCGTTAAAAAGGAAAAGTTGTCAAAACTTTGTAAGAGCGTGATTATTTGGACTGATTTCACTTGTCTGCTACGGATATTTTAGTTTTACACAAACTGAGCTGGCCAGTGCCATTCATAATATCTTCAAATAAACTTTTTCTCCTGCATTCAATCCATGACCACATGTTACTCCAGAATCCATAGGATCTTCGGGGATGAGCCATTCCATGGTCACTTGGTCTTAGATTGAAGGTCTTTAAATTCCAAAAGTCAATGGGTGTGACAAAACATAAGTTAAAGCTTAATAAATGAGTGTGGATTGGTTGATCCCAAGATATTATCAGTCAGTAGCTTATTACGTACTATAACAGTTAGCAGGGAGACAAAAACTGGAACTTACTGTTATGCGGTAATCATGATACAAAAATATGTCATATTCCACAATGAATATGGCATATTCATTTGCGGTGTATGACAGATTCACCTGCGGTATATGGGATACACATCAACCAATGAGAATGTGATATGGAAATACGCAATTGTCAATTGCTTAGATTGAACGAGCAAGTTAAACATTATAAATTATTATAATGATTACTGAATCAACAGCACTGTGTATCAAATATATTAACTTAGCAGAAGTATCAGTCACCAATCTTGTGCAATAAACTTACTCAATCAATCCTGGAATGATACATTAGTACTAGACGCACTAACTATATTGGTAATCCAGTGTAGTTTTACATTTAGAGTCGATTCTCGCAACCAATCAAATCAAGGCTTTCTGTATCACGTTTTCACCTGCGGTATATGTCATATTCACCTGCGGTATATGGCATATTCCGCAAGTGAGTATGACATATTCCGCAGGTGAGTATGGGGTATTCACTGAAATCAATGTATCGCATATTCACTGCGGAATATCGCATACTCACCCGCAGAATATGCCATACACCGCAGGTGAGTATGGCATATTCACCTGTATCACAAATACTGCGCAACCATGAATGTATGCCATATACCGCGTAACACTTACTGTCGATCATGCTGCTCCAGGAATAATGAGTCATCTGTACAAAGCATAATCAAGGTGGTAGAAGCAAATGAGAACCCATTTAGATTGAAAATTCTGATAATTAGCCATCTTGATTCTCAAGGTTTCAATTGCTGTATAATAACATGGAAGTCGAAGATGATAATAAGCTCCATTAACCCTTTCACGACGATAGGCTCCATATGGAGCCCAATTCTATAATACCTTTCAGGACGATGGGCTCCTTTTGGCACCATTATTTTTATTTCTATGCATCAATGAAATGACAATATCTCCAGTTCTATTCAGTATTTTTACACCAAATTTTGACAAGTTGTTAAAATTTGATAGTCCTTTTTAAAAAATGTATTTAGGTGATACAATTTAAAGCATACGTCCTGGGATATAGGTAATTTACAGTTTTTCCCTAAAAACTGCTCTTACTTATCCGTCACCAGTCCCATATTTTCCTCTTATATTCACGTCAGGAAAGGGTTAAATACTTACTATGAAGGTGATGACTTATGACATCAGAAAGAGTTTATCATAAATATCAAGAATACTTTACTGGTTGAAAGAGATGTTAAAAGATAAAGTGAAAGTGAAATTGATTCCAATATTGAGATTTTAAAAATCTGTTTCTCTGTTTTGGTGCATAAATACAAAGGAGGTTACTTTGCTGGGGCTTCTTAACTCTTCTATCTACAGCCAGGGATACAATTGTTTCCTGTACAAAGTACAATCAATTCCCTTGATACTATGTCAAGTATCGGGTGCTAGACTAGCAGTGAAACATTATCTCCAATTCCTTAGGGACAATAGGGGTGTAGCCAGCTTTGGTTCAGTGGGGGTTTGATCGCCAACATTTTTCGGTTTTCAGTCAGGGGGATGCAACTGTGGCATAAAAAAGCGAAAAATTAAGATCTATCTTGAATTTTACAAATCTTGATTCAACTTCCTTCAAAATAGGGCTAGAAGCTTAAAATAAAAAGCATTTTAAAACTCTTCTTCTATCTCATGGTTATATTTTTATTGGTTATGGGGGGGGGGGGGTGGGGGTGCGATCCCATTGCACCCCCTGGCTAAGCTTATGGACAAGATGTATTATTTTGACATAAACAAAACATACACATCTTGTTATGTTCTACAAACTACAACTAAACAATTTATGACATATTATACAATACGAAGTGTGCAAACTGCAACCAGGCTCTGAGAAACTCTGGCTCTTAATCACTTGGTGTTACAATTTGTTTTTATATAGCGAATTATTTGCAGCAACAATAAGAGTCTTGTTGCAGTTTACATGGACCCTATACTAAAAAGCATGTACACCCCCTCCATAAGTTTGGCAACTGGAAGTTATTATATGATAGCACATGAAAGTCTGTCAATGTTTAAAACTTGATTATGTTCCTTATTACCATATTTCAGATATTTCGATTTCATATGCCAAAAATAAACAGGCTTTAATAAGTGATTCAAAGGGGTTTGAGTTGCCAAACTTATGATGGGAAGTGCTATCATTCATAAACATAAACTATAACTACATGAACAACATTAGGAAAGAATGGCACCCGAAATACAGTTTTGAAAAATGTTATGGGTACACATACATGTATTTCCAATTGCTGACCACACATACCCTAAATGGTTTTATGGTTTATGGCAATGATAAGCCTTAAAAAATATAAAATGATAGATAATGAATATGTTTAGCATATTATGATATAGTGTTAAGATTTATTTAGAATAACACTTTTTGCTATAATGATACATATTTTCTATTTGACCCTAGCAAAAAGTTCAACAACTGAAGTGTAAGGTGCCACGCCCCCTTTCTTGAATTTTTAGGGGAAGGTAAAGAGAAAAATCAGAAAAAATAAATGCATGCACTTTTTATTGAAACTTATGCAAGAAATATTTGCTAACATCATCAGTGAAGTTTTTAATCAGGTTTTATACACCATAGGCCCTTACTGTTTTTTAAATGACTGATTAACTATCGACTGATTAAGACATTTTGAGGAGAAATTATGTACTTTTAGGGACAAATTATCCCATATCTCTACCAAATTTTGTTGGATAAGACCCAAACTCTCAGGAATTCTTCATACATGCCTTATTGATATATTGACAATGTTTCATTACAATTGCATCATCCTCAAATGAGATATTAAATAGTTTCAAGCATATGGTCAAATTCCCACTTGAAAATTATAAAATTTGCTGACTCAGCACTTTTGAGCCTGCTTTGCAAGGGTTCACAAACTTTTTTTTACATGCCTTGGGAAATATAGTACATTTATACTGTAAATTGCTTTAATTTGACGGCCGTTTTAATTTGGTGGATTGATAAAAACCACAAAATTAAATCTCTGCCAATTTTTGGAAAATTTTCCATGTGTAATCTTGCATGATGAAAACATGGATAAAATGTTAATAATTACTCATCAATATATTAGGCTTCTCCACAGATCAGGCCAGCAAAATAAACACATTTCTTATCATTGTATTAGGCTACTCCACAGATCAGGCCAGCCAAATGAAAACATTACTCCTCATTGTATGAGGCTACTCCACAGATGAGGCCAGCCAAATGATCACATTACTTATCATTGTATTAGGCTACTCCACAGATGAGGCCAGCCAAATGATCACATTACTCCTCAATGTATAAGGCTACTCCACAGATCAGGCCAGCCAAATGAAAACATTGCTCCTCATTGTATTAGGCTACTCTACAGATCAGGCCAGCCAAATGAAAATATTACTCATTATTGTATTAGGCTACTTCACAGATCAGGCCAGCCAAATGAACACATTACTTATCATTGTATTAGGCTACTCCACAGATCAGGCCAGCCAAATGATCACATTACTTATCATTGTATTAGGCTACTCCACAGATGAGGCCAGCCAAATGATCACATTACTCCTCAATGTATTAGGCTACTCAACAGATCAGGCCAGCCAAATGAAAACATTACTCCTCATTGTATTAGGCTACTCTACAGATCAGGCCAGCCAAATGAAAATATTACTCATTATTGTATTAGGCTACTCTACAGATCAGGCCAGCCAAATGAAAATATTACTCATTATTGTATTAGGCTACTCGACAGATCAGGCCAGCCAAATGAACACATTACTTATCATAGTATTAGGCTTCTCCACAGATCAGGCCAGCAAAATGAACACATTACTTATCATTGTATTAGGCTACTCCACAGATCAGGCCAGCCAAATGAACACATTACTTATCATTGTATTAGGCTACTCCACAGATGAGGCCAGCCAAATGAACACATTACTTATCATTGTATTAGGCTACTCCACAGATCAGGCCAGCCAAATGAACACATTACTTATCATTGTATTAGGCTACTCCACAGATGAGGCCAGCCAAATGAACACATTACTTATCATTGTATTAGGCTACTCCACAGATGAGGCCAGCCAAATGATCACATTACTTATCATTGTATTAGGCTACTCCACAGATCAGGCCAGCCAAATGATCACATTACTTATCATTGTATTAGGCTTCTCCACAGATCAGGCCAGCAAAATGAACACATTACTTATCATTGTATTAGGCTACTCCACAGATCAGGCCAGCCAAATGAAAACATTACTCCTCATTGTATGAGGCTACTCCACAGATGAGGCCAGCCAAATGATCACATTACTTATCATTGTATTAGGCTACTCCACAGATGAGGCCAGCCAAATGATCACATTACTCCTCAATGTATTAGGCTACTCCACAGATCAGGCCAGCCAAATGAAAACATTACTCCTCATTGTATTAGGCTACTCTACAGATCAGGCCAGCCAAATGAAAATATTACTCATTATTGTATTAGGCTACTCCACAGATCAGGCCAGCCAAATGAAAACATTACTCCTCATTGTATTAGGCTACTCTACAGATCAGGCCAGCCAAATGAAAATATTACTCATTATTGTATTAGGCTACTCTACAGATCAGGCCAGCCAAATGAAAATATTACTCATTATTGTATTAGGCTACCATTAGCATACCATTAGGCTACACATTACTTATCATAGTATTAGGCTACTCCACAGATGAGGCCAGCCAAATGATCACATTACTTATCATTGTATTAGGCTACTCCACAGATCAGGCCAGCCAAATGAACACATTACTTATCATAGTATTAGTCTACTCCACAGATGAGGCCAGCCAAATGATCACATTACTTATCATTGTATTAGGCTACTCCACAGATCAGGCCAGCCAAATGAACACATTACTTATCATTGTATTAGGCTACTCCACAGATGAGGCCAGCCAAATGAACACATTACTTATCATTGTATTAGGCTACTCCACAGATCAGGCCAGCCAAATGAACACATTACTTATCATTGTATTAGGCTTCTCCACAGATGAGGCCAGCCAAATGAACACATTACTTATCATTGTATTAGGCTACTCCACAGATGAGGCCAGCCAAATGATCACATTACTTATCATTGTATTAGGGTACTCCACAGATCAGGCCAGCCAAATGATCACATTACTTATCATTGTATTAGGCTACTCCACAGATCAGGCCAGCCAAATGATCACATTACTTATCATTGTATTAGGCTAATCCACAGATCAGGCCAGCCAAATGAACACATTACTTATCATTGTATTAGGCTACTCCACAGATGAGGCTAGCCAAATGATCACATTACTTATCATTGTATTAGGCTACTCCACAGATCAGACCAGCCAAATGGACATATTACTCATCATGCTATTAGGCTACTCCACAGATCAGGCCAGCCAAATGAACAAATTACTTATCATTGTATTAGGCTACTCCACAGATCAGGCCAGCCAAATGAACACATTACTTATCATTGTATTAGGCTACTCCACAGATGAGGCTAGCCAAATGAATACATTAATCCTCATTGTATTAAGCTGCTCCACAGATCAGGGCAGCCAAATGAACACATTACTTATCATTGTATTAGGCTACTCCACAGATGAGGCCAGCCAAATGATCACATTACTTATCATTGTATTAGGCTACTCCACAGATCAGGCCAGCCAAATGAACACATTACTTATCATTGTATTAGGCTACTCCACAGATGAGGCCAGCCAAATGATCACATTACTTATCATTGTATTAGGCTACTCCACAGATCAGGCCAGCCAAATGATCACATTACTTATCATTGTATTAGGCTACTCCACAGATCAGGCCAGCCAAATGATCACATTACTTATCATTGTATTAGGGTACTCCACAGATCAGACCAGCCAAATGAACACATTACTTATCATTGTATTAGGCTACTCCACAGATGAGGCCAGCCAAACGACCTACTTGTCACAATAATAACCTTGTATTGCAACAGGGATTCTTGTAAAGGAGATTCTGGAGGTCCATTCATGTGCAGAAAAGCAAATGATATATGGAAACAGTATGGTATAGTGAGCTGGGGCCCAGCTTTAAAAAATCTTGCAATGTTTCAATGTGGAAAATATTCAGGTATTTACACAAAGGTAAGTACTTATGTGATATCTTTACATCAGGAGTTGTATTTCTTTTTCTTTTTTGCACTGACAATACCCATTGCGAGACTTCAACTCTAGTTGATCAATAATGACAAAATAAATATTTAGCTGGTTGAGATTCAAAGGAAGTGGTGCTATTATTGGCAAATATCCCTATGGTCAAAATGAATCATTCTTAGGTGTAACATGAAGATTAGCATGTCATATAATACTTAGGAAAATATTAAAGTGCTCGGGCACACATAAGCTGAGATAGGGCTCATTTCGTTCAGTAAGGTTGTATTGACTTACATGGGGCTGTGCACCATTGACTTAACATGAGGATATCAGCAGATCCTAATAGAGGCCATTGGTTTCCATTGATTATCACAGAAATATCAAAAATACACTATGACCTGAATTGATTGCAAATTCAATAATTTCACAATATGACACAAATGATTCATCTCATCAAATGTGCAAATATGAAGTTTGCAATCGATTCAGGTCATACTTTAAATTAAAAGATTGTACATTTTTCATCATTTTTTTCCTATAAAATGGCTATAGAAAAATGCTTCAAAAACATCTTTTACACTTATCAAATATCATAAAACTTTGATTATAATATTATATTTCATTATTTAGTATCATATGTGGATAAGATGTAGGGATGCATAGGATGCAAATGGATTTTGATAAGCATAAAAATACTTCCTGGTTTGGAATCTATGCCTCTACACTTCATGATTGAATTATGACCCCTAATAAGTGGCCTATACATCAATGCAGTGCTGAATATAGGTCAACAAGATACTAGTGTGGATGTAAATGTTATAATAAAAGCAGTATAATCATATTGAAAAATCAGATGAATTAATTTTTTTCATGGGGATATCACAATGGCAAGCGCATTACTTCCTTTGTTGGTTTTTCCTCTGAAGTTGACAATTGCTTCAAAAATGGGTGGTAAAATTTTTTTAAGCTATCCTATAATACATCGTCACAATCTGTGATTGGAAAGCATGAACAGAGAGGGATGGAGTAGCTGAGTTCTGCTAGAAAATTCAACAAGTCTTATAACATATGAAATCATATTCTGAAAACCAGCAATGACATTAATTTTGTAGTTTAAGTCACTTAGAACCTTGTACTTATTACAGGTGATTTATAGCAGATTCCGTTTTTTCACCATAATGTCAACTGTGCACCTATTCATTTAGCGATTTATTCGTAAACTTTAAAGTGAAAAAATATATCTTGCAGATTTATCAAATTTTCTTGCAAAAATTAGCCACTCCTCCTCTATTAACTTTTTCCGATCACATGAAACTACTCATTAATCCACTCAGGAATAAAATATTCAGGGATGACATATCTGACTGGTTGATTCCCTTTAAGTATTTGCATAATTTGTAAGATTTATCCCTTCTTTGTCTACCCTGCAGGTAGCCCATTTCACAAGCTGGATCAAAAATAAGTTGTCATTAACTGCACAATGGGGACCCTTCGGGGATTACGGTCCGTGTACAGCAACATGTGGAGAGGGGAGAAAAAGTCGTTATCGGGAATGCCTAGACCTGGAGCCTGTAGAATGTATTGGTGAAATTGGTGAGAAGCGCAAAGATGAAGAAACAGGCCAAATCACTGATATAGAGACAGTTACATGTAATGAAGCAGTCTGTTAATGTAATGAGGGAGATTGTTAATGAAATGAGGGACAATGTTAAAAATGAAATAGACTGTCAATGAAACGTTGTGAAATAAACTCCTCATCAAATATTGTAAAACTGTGAACATGTGAATGTCTTTCTCTCAAAAGTAAATTAGTCTCCATGACAACAATATTCTAATGTTGTCAAAAGAGGTGCACAGTTCAGTCATCTCCCCAGAATTTTTTTTCAAATGGGTGCACATTTTTCAAGGAATAACAGGGGTTTCACTAGAATTTTTTGACAGAATATGGTCATTTCCCTTACGTAGAAACATTGACCATACCATACATATATACCTCTCGTATCACTGCGTCTCGTCTCGTCTAGTGTACATATAAATGTAATAATAAAAGCAGTACACTCATTTTGAAAAATCATATGAGTTATTTTTTTCATGGGGAGATTATGATGGCGAGTGCACTACTTCCTTTAACATGGAAAAGTTGAAAAGTTCCTAAAAGCTACAGGTGATTATGTGAAAACAACTGGTGAGAATCGCCTGTTGCCTGCTGCTAATGAAACCCCTGAGTAATTAACTTTGTGTTTCATAACTGTCAATACCATCTTACCTTAAACTGGGTTGGGGCATTAAGTTCAGCCTGAAGGGCCTCTAAGTTCACTCTCAACTGTTCTTCCTCAAGCTGTATTGCATATCCCATCTTTCTGCAAATTTCCTGTTTAGTCATCACCTTATGAAAAACATGTAAAAATGTCATCAGGAGTTGAAAGGACATTAAAAGGATAGTTGATAGGTGAGTTGATCGTAAGTTTGAAAAAAAATATCTTGTAGCTTTCGTCATTCCATGACACGCTTATTATCAAAAATGCTTAATTTGAATTTATTTTCAGGATAATACTTTTACTCAATTCTAATGAATTTGGACATTTCTGAAATCTCTGTCAACTTCAATATTTGATCAGATGTCTCTGTTAAGATTGAAACGATACAGGGTGTCCAAGAAGTAACGTCAATGACCCTTGCATTTTGTCATTTAAGCTTCAAATATCATGAAACTTGGTCAGGATGTTCCTTGTACATTTATACATATAAATACGAAGTATGGAGTGACTGGCATTTGATTGGCCGATTTTATGGTTGCCATAGTAACACAAGTGCATGGACCCCGGGGCAGTTCAGAATGTACCTGGTAAATATTATGTAAATCAGGTTATTATAAGTTAAAACTTTCTGGGGCAAATTGTAACTTCTGATGAAAGCTCAATTGGATTCTATGCCCCTGAGAATGCCCAACAAAGTGCTGCATGGAAACATGATGACTCACCTACACCATCAAAGCCAAAACTGATGCCTGGGGTTCCTATGAAAAAGCAGATGATAATCACATTTTTCAACATCGGGGGAATGATCCTCACCCATTTTGTCCCTGTGGGACAGACAGTCAACTCAAGGTATATCGCAAAGGCAAACCCTTATTTTCATTGATTGCTTAGTTATAATGATATGTTAAAAATGATATACCTGTCCAAATCATATATTTATGCCTCAGTCTCTCTTCAAATGAGGAACTTAGGAGCTCTGTTCTGTCATCTCTTGCAAAATGAGCTCTGGTGGTTTCAATAGAGTTTTCTTGGAGTGGGTAAGAAGACACCAGAGATGTGTGGAACTTGGTGGTGATTATATAGAGTAATATTCTATGGTAACCATAAAACCGGCCAATCAAATGCTAGTAACTCCATACTTCATATTTATATTTATAAATGTACAAGGAACATTCTGACCAAGTTTCATGACATTTGAAGCATAAATGACAAAAATGCCAGGGTCATTGTCATTCATCAGACTGACATTTTTCAATTTCTGTCAAGTCGTATCTGTATTCTACAATTATCTTATATTTTACATTTACACATTTTGGTTAGAATCGTATTTTACAACTTCTTCATTTTTGTATTCAACAGTTTGTTAAGTTCAATTTTGTTTATGTTTTTAATGTTTTAGTGACTAATAGGTCATTGTAATGACATCAGAGAGTCAATAGAAGATATATGGACTTATATATATATATATATATATATATATAAGTGAAACATTGGCACATTTTTTGGAAATGTTATTTCCAAATTCTCACGTCTTTGGTGTGCCTTTAAGCCCATCAAACAGTTTGAATAAACTACGAAAAAGAAAAACAAAGATTGGTGACAGTACCTGCAACACTCTGTGACCAAGCTCAAGATGTTTACGTTTGTATTGTTCTGTTTTGGCAACCATATTCGTATGACTTCTTTGTAGGTCACTGATATCTTTTGCAATCATCTGAAACATTAATAGAGGATATCCTATGATTTATGAGTGATATGATTTTTATCCACGAATGGATATGATATCTGCACAAGCGAGCGTAGCGAGAGAGTGCAGATATCAATATCCACGAGTGGATTAAAATCATATAACGAGTAAATCATAGGATGTTCTTTTTATTACATAGTTAAAGTCATCATCAGAATCTTCGGAAAAGTGATTTAATTCGAATTTTCCAAACGATCCGGCGATGTTGACACTTAGCCTCATTTTGAGTCTGAAGTAGCAAAAATCCATAATTCATAGCATACGGCGCCGTATGTCATGGCTAAAACACCGTATGCTATGGTTAAATGAAAATTTGTCAAAAATATCATATTTTACCACTGCTTACAAAAATACCGTTTTTATTTTGACATGTTATCCTATGAATATCATGCTAACTATGGAATAAAGGTATTTATCCTATAGACATATCCTTCTGGATAAACCCAATATCCAAAACCTCCCAGTACATAACCCTTATATATTATTTGAGACCTTAACCGGACGTGGAGGAAACTTTATCTCTGATCCATATACGTACCACAAATTAACAACTGTTTTATCCAGTGTAAGGATCTGAGGACCTTTAAATTATATGAAAGTTAACCCCATACAAGAAGTTTGTTTCAGTTTTTTATTTCTTAATTTTTTACAGGTTAGGAAAGTTTTTTACAAAAGAAGATATAATGTGAAGCAAGCCTTCTTATGCATTTTCTCTACAAAAAATTATCTGTGTGTATAAAGATAGACTCGATTATTCAAATCATTTGGAAATTCACACTCCTAATTGGACCTATTCAATGGTAGTAATAAAATGGTCGGTCAAAAATTCTCAACATCAAACAATGACAATTTACAACATCTTTCTCTCAGAAGAGAACAACCCATGAAGCGGGTTCCAAAACCCCTTAAAACATACACAATTCCAAATGCCAATATTTTGACCAGAACTTGAGTTGAAAATGAGCTTACATCTAGTCTGGCTTGGTGTAGTGATGTTTGTTGTTCCTGGTGTTTCAGTCTGTTATGTAGTTCCTTAAAACCAACCATAGGGACAGGGATCAACTTCTCTGGATCAGGATTGTCAAGTTTAGCCTGTTGCCATAGCAATGGATCAATCCCTACAATGAAAAGACATTAAACTAACATCAGATTCAGTGAAATGATTGATGCTTGTCAACTTAAGTTTGATCTATATGCCTGAACAAAAGTGACATCTTTAATCTTTATGATTGAAAATTATGTGATGTCGTTATTTCCACCACAGATAATAAGGATTGCTGACTGTCAGGGTAAGCTGTTGCAATTAGCAATGTCAGGGTGAGCATGTTGCCATAAAAATGAATCAATTCCTATATTAAAAAGTCAGAAAATGAATCAATCTAATGAAATAAACTCCGTGCAAATCGACCATAAAAAATTGTTGATCGTCAATTTCAATTGTTGACATCGCAACTGATCCAAGCCTGTAATAAAAGGATTAAGTGATAAATCTTTATTGACTGTATGACCAATCAAAACTGAGTATGTAAATCAGGACTTACCGGAGGGTGGAACATCCAGGTATTGTTTGAACTGATCTGCTGTCATCTGTATCTTAGGCACAAGGTTTGTGACCCCTAGTTGCGATATAAGCTGGGTCTTAATATTATTTGACATCATGAAATTGTATAGTTCTGTAGCTGTGATTCTCTTTGTAGGTCCTTGTGCTGGTCTTTCTAGTACATATAGTATAACCTCTGTCCTGGAACCATTAGGTTTTCATAAGCAACCCATTCATTTAATAGTGAATGGATATGCTAATTGTTTTCACACATGTTTTCCCTTATGATAGGTTTATTGGATGATTGTTTGATGTTGCTAAGGCAACTACAAAAATTTACTATCAAATCAGACAAGGGGGATAGCTTATGCATGACAATTTTAATTTCTTGCAAATGCCAATATAAATCTCTTTATCAAATAATGGTGGCTATAACCTTTAGTGTTGTCGCGATTAATCGATACATCGCGATATACATCGCCAAAGCTGATTCTGGCGATGCATCGATGTCTGAAACAAAACATCGATGTTTTTTAAAAAAATGTCATTTGCTAAAAATCACCCAAATCGCTTACCTTTCTCATGTCTTATTTCATTTTCTGATGTTTTCTGATATTCTTTCGCTTTAAAACTGTTTTAGTTAGTAGAAATGAACCATTAATCTAAAACAATTTACTTTACTTTCCAAGAAAAAGTAGTAATATACATGTAGACGTCGACTCGCTATTTTATACATGTTCCCGGGCCTATGTTACTTTCATTTCACCGTTACTAGAAGATCCCGGATGTACCAGCGTACTCTTATTAATATGTTCAGTTCGGTATTTCAGTGCATTTTTCTCGGACTTTTTCTCGATGTACATCGCGATGTGCATCGATGTTTACTACTGAAAATTGCCGATGCATCGATGTACGATTATGGCACATCGCGACAACACTAATAACCTTGATATATAATGGGTAGATAAAAAAGCTGGTTTCGAAAAATCAAGGCAAAGTATCAACAAGACCAATGCATCCCCAAAAAAAAAGATATGAGAAAACGGACAGTTTTCATATTGATGAATGTACAAACCGATGAGTGGGCAATTCCATAGGCTTGTCAATGTGAACCAAAGGAGGAATGGCTCCTAGGATCGTAACTCGATATTTTCCAACAATGAAAACCTGGAAATACCGTTATTTTCTGAAATTATAACCGACTATAAATTCAAAATAAACCGTTTAAAAGACCCAAACCAATATCTCAATCATTTCTTGTTGTGAGTTTTGGAATTTTCTGTGAAGAAATTAAGACCAAAATTCACGATTCAAATGTTGAAGTTAACAAAATGACGGCTGTTTGAATTCGAATTTTGAATCATGACATGCCCATATTTGGGGCAGAATATTGATGTTGCACTCTGGGAGCCAATCCTCTTTGATGTGAACCAAAAAATGTATGAGTTTCATTTACTTTTCATCTGGCAGCTGCCTCACGCCCTCAACACACACTGACAGGGTTGGTTTGTTTCCTAGTATCTTATGCAGACTGTCAACTAGCTGTTGTTGAAGGGCTTTTATTTCAGACTCTTTCTTATTGAAGACGATACCCACTAAACCATCCGTATCTTGAGATGTTGGGAGGAGACTGTATCCTATTGCCTAGGAATGAAAAAATATTTTTGAAAAAGTATTTCTTAATTCATCCTTACTTCCTGAAAAGAAAAAAACATAAGTTTCTTCTCTTTGAAAATCGATTTAACATTGTTTTGAAGAGAAAAGAATGTATTCTAAAGCCTCAAATGAAAAAACAAGAACATATAGCCTATTTCCAGATAAATACTTTCCTTCAATGACATTATCCTAGCTTTTTATATTTAATAGTATAATGCGAGGAATAAGTTATTAATTTTCTCATCAAAGATTACAATTTCCTTAGACCATCCATTTCTTGCAATATAGGAAAACATCATCAAAGTACTGCCTTGAAAACATATATGTTTTACATTTTCCAGATTTCAACTTTGGCAATTTAAGTGAAGCAGTTTTTACAATAGATAAATAGTATTTCTACTTCAGAATAAAAATGGAATGCCAAAAAAATATTAATTTAAAACTTATACAAAAAATTAACATGCAAAATGTCAACACTTGCCATTTGTAAAGATGCCGAATGCTGAAAGCTGAATGCCAACAGCCATCACAAAAAAGTTGGTGACATAAAAACAAACCTTAAAACGACAAAATGGATTGTCTGGTGTGAACTCAACAACCCCATTTTGTGAGAAAAATCCTTTTCCAGACCCCCAAAATGCCTGTAACTGATTCCATTTTGCGATCAACAGATCACGTTCGTCACCAAATATGATTGGAAGTGACACTGCCTGGGCCATATTGGACATTGCGTTGGCGGCTTGTTGTTGCTGCGTTTGTTGTTGTTGCGCTTGAGCTCCTTAAAGGATAAAAAACGATTGCATAAATGATCACATAAATCTTTCAAATGTTTTTTAAAATCATTCGAGTCATCTCTACTAAGAAAGGGAATTTCAAGAGGTAACCTTTCCAAATAATTCACCAGTTATTGATCAATCACAATTTAATCTTACCCGAGGCCCAAACAAACAAAAAATTGTTTACCAAGCCCAAATGTTGATCCTGGCTGTACATTTGCAACGCCAAATCCAGTGTTAGTACCAAGGGCTGTGCTAGTGCCACCAAATAATGATCCTGTGCTGGTACCAGTACCTGGAATAATCAATCAATGATTTGCTATCACTTTTGACACATGCTATAGAACTATAAAAGAATTAAGACCAAAATGTATATATTTTTTTATTGACACAAATACAAAAGCTAACAAAGCATTTAAACATGGAAAATGTCACCACCTGCCATTTGTTACAGAGGCAGACCACCAAGAGCCATCTGTAACATACACCAACTGCCAAACACTGTCTACAAAAAAGTTGGAGACCATAAAAATATGTCACCACTAGTGACATATTGCAAACTACTTATACTGCAAAGTAATTATGGCAGCAAAGACTTATTAAAGGGTAGGGCCAAAAATGTTACCCTTGTTATATTCTTGCCAGTTCTGAATAAGTAACATTTTTGGCCCAGCCCGTACATTACCTGTGGAGGCTAATCCTACACCAAAACCAGTCCCTGTTCCAAAGCCAGTTGTTGTCCCAAATCCACCTGTTGTACCAAAGCCTGTAGTTGCAGTTGTGGCAGGAGTTGTGCCTGCACCAAATGCAAAGCCTGAAAGAAATGCAATTGTAATATAAATAAAAACATGGGTTTCTTAAGCAGCAAGTAACATGTGATTTTTAATTGCTTATTATAAAAACTAGAGGGGGGGTCTTACTCCTTTACCAATAAACCTGACATAATCTTGTCCTGTCTTCCAAGTTTTTGTAATTTTAGTGCACAATTTTAAGATTCTGACAACTTCTGCAGCATTTTAGGATTTTGAATTCTATAATATAATGTCATAAGATTTCTAAAACTTTTTTTAGAAATATCTGGTGATCAAGAATTTACTGCAACACATCCTTGGCATATACACAGCTACCTGCTACAGATAATGGACTATGCAGGTTTGACATCATCACTGAGGATGCAACAGTTATTTTCTAATTTAAATCAACCGCCCCTGGTCCATTATGGACATCGGTGTATACCAAGCGTGAATTTCAAGAATATCTTACTCAGTCTACGATTTCGTTTTCAGCTCATACTTGCCAAGAGTGACTATTAAAAATTATTAGTTCTCGCCATATGAAATCTGTACTAGTCCTGTTTTGGGCAGGAAATGACACATAAATTAAACAGGAGACACGACACATAAAACTGCTATTCCATCAGCTCGGTTCAAAAGATATAAGCTAAAAAATCAGAAGTGATAATCATTTCATTTGATCTGGCTCCCGGGGATGCCGGGGCTAGCTCCCGCCATCCCGGGGCTGGCTTTTTAATTTCCCTTTAAAATTAATTTGAATTAAAAATAATACCTCAAAGGGATCTTTATGGGACAAATTACTGAAATATTACTGAAAGAATCAAAGACATGTGGTTAAATTATGCAAGGAAAATATGTCTCTGATGTAATAGAATCATACATAACCCGGGGGCCACCTTCCTTTTCCCCAAAATTGGGAAAGGTTTTTGAACTCCCACCAGGGGGGAGGATTCCCAAAGATGACCTTTCATATTAGCACGTTCGAAAACAAATTTTATAAACAGGCCTCAATTTGCCGTTGAAATGAATCTCCAAATGTTCACTGTAGTTTTATGAGTATTCTCTACAAGTATGGATCGAGTAACTTCAATAGTATTACCGTAGGTTTGAAATGATGATGTTGAACTGCTGTTAATGCCATTCCCACGATTTCAAATTTAACTCTGCGCATGTGCAGCACTGAGAGAGCACGTGCTCATGATTGTTCACGTGATCGAATCCTGCAATTTGATTGGAGATGATGCAAGAGATGATGTAATGGGGAATCCCCGAATACGATAGAATATGAACTCCCGCCATCGAACTTAGTACACATAGGGCAATCTGCGACAGGTTCGCTTTTAATTTCAGATCTTCACGCTTGCGCAAAAGAAAAGTTTGACAATACTTTTCAAGTGCACATGCGTATTTTGAATCTGAACCAATCAAGAGAGAGAAACCGGCGCAGATTGCCTGCGTAGCAATGACTCCCAAAACTAATAATTGACGCATTGAATTGAACCGACCCGCGAAATGTAAAAAAATTATGAAAACAAATCGGGAGTTCGAGTCATGAACGGGTGGTTTATTTCATTTAATGGTTGGGATATTTCAAGAAAGTATTGATACTATAGTCGCCACAATAATGGTATTTTGTTCTAGACATGCGTGGCAAGTTGTTTTAGATCATTTTTGCCTCAGCAGTTTCATTTCCGCATTTGGCGAGGTGCGACAGACGAAATCGTAGACTGCTTACTTACTTTTTCCCCCGAATCCAGTACTAGCTGTACTAGCTGTACCAAAGCCAAGGGTAGGTGCAGTTGTCTTAGCTGCTCCAAAGCCAAATGAAGTACCTGTTGCTGCTATGAAAGGAAAAGTAATTGTTTAATTTTATATATTTGTTAAAAAATGCTATTACATTATTACAGAGGGGGCACATAGAGAAAGAAACAAATATTGTTATCAATTTTTTGTGCCTTTATTTATGGGACCTTACTTTTATTTTATGATTTATGTTTGACGTAATATGTTTTTATTTTAAGATATGCGTAATATTTTGAGGATATTTTTGAAGTTTGCACAACAAATATACCTGAATATATGTATACCATTTCAAGTAAAAGACTAAGAATTACTATGTTATCCAGATCTTGTTTAAATTCAAGACATATGCATCTACATTGATCATCAAGTAAATAACAAATATACAGAGCAGGGGTTTCATTAGCCATAGATACTAGTATTCCGTAATTCCGCGGTGTGGACGGAATTTGACAAAACTTCAATTTTTTGCAGAATCCCTAATTTTCATGAAAATCCCGCGGAATTACCAGAATTTACATATTTTACAATCTCCTACCTTTGCGGGGTATTTGAAGAGTGTCTGTTTATGTCCAACAATCAATCATTATTGAGTACAAGTACGATTTCACTGTGAAATTCAACATTCTATCACGTTTAAATTCGCTAAAGCGAGTTCGCTAATGACGCGCAGTTCTTACCTAGAAAGTAACTGACTTCCGTTTCCGTTTTCATCATTTTAAAAGATTGCAGAATTTGGACTTTTTTTGAAAATTTTCAAATTTCCCATTTTAAATTTATGATTTCCATTAATTTTTCATTTCTTTAGCCTGTTGTGAGAAATTCTAGTGAAACCCTTACAGGGGAAGTGTATTAGAGAGGAATTGCCTGAAGAAATAGCTGCATATTTAGTTATTGATTCTCCTTTCTGAATTAGAAAATCAGCTATGATGCCACTAAGGTTAAATCTTAAAAAATTAATCATTCAAAGCTGACTTTTTAAGTTAGACAGAAGAGTTGATAGCTAGATGTGTACACAACACAACAAGAGAGGTTTACCAATGAATATATTTGATGAGCACTGAAATGAGCATTGAATGAATTAACATTTGGTTAAGCTTAGGAGTTTTCATTACTGTCGCCAGTAAGGGGGGGGGATTTCCCAAAGATGACTTATCATATTAGCACGTTCAAAAACAAAAATTATAAACATGCGTACATGCCTCAATTTGCCGTTGAAATGGATCTCCAAATGTTCACTGTAGTTTCATGAGTATTCTCTACAAGTATGGATCGCGTAACTTCAATAGTATTACCGTAGGTTTGAAATGATGATGTTGAACTGATGTTAACGCCATTCTCACAATTTCAAATTTAACTTTGCGCATGTGCAGCACTGAGAGAGCATGTGCGCATGATTGTTCATGTGATCAAATCCTGCAATTTGATTGGAGATGATGCAAGAGATGATGTAATGAAGAATCCCCGAATCTCCTGGTCGCCAGTCGTGTTTTTGATTTTTAAATTTTTTTTAAATAAATTTTCGAATTCAGGAGACTATTCAACAAATCTCAGGACAAACGTTCACTCTTTTGACCTACCTGTTGATGTAGCCGCAGTTGCCCCAAATCCACCAAACGCTGGGGCTGACGTAGCCGTGGTAGTGGCTCCAAAACCTGTTTTATTTGCGCCGAAACTAAACGCCATTTTCTTACGTGAAAGTTTACACTCGTTAGAAATTGCTTACTTCCGTCTTTGACATGTCATTCTTAAAAAAAATCTAGACATAAATAATGCATTTATATATTTTGTAATGCCAATATTATGCTCATTTTATAGGCATGGATGTTAAATATTTTTATTTGATTCCACTTGAAAATATTTGAGAGGAAAATGCTCTTCAACAGAGATTAAGGTTGAATAATATGCAATATGAGCGCTCCCCCATCTAATTTCTAAAACTTGATCCATGAAAACATGGAAAAGGCCACAAAGTTTCCTGTCAACGTTTCAAATGAAATATCTACCCCATATTGATTGAATTAAATATAAAAGCCAGTGAAGAACAAGACAGACTTAATTCAAAGGGTGTTGAGATTAGCAATAGAATCAACTTGCGATTCAGAGAAATTTGGAAAGAGAAGAAAGTTGGTCTGGTTGAGTCAAGATAAGATTTCTTGTCCGATTCGTAACTCATCTCTATTGCTTAGAGGTAGAATAATGTGAGTATGCCAATTTTTGAAAGTACTATAGCTAGTATATTTCATTATGGATATTAAAACAGGTCCTCGGTGGATTTAGATCTTTATACTAATAATAGATGGCATAACAGTCTCTGTTGGGAACTGTGGGGATTGGCACAAAAAGGGGAATTGGCTCAAAAGGGGAACTGTGGGGATTGGCTCCAAAAAGGGAACTGTGGGGATTGGCTCAAAAGGGAAACTGTGGGGTTGGCTCAAAAAGGTGGCATTGGCTCAAATGGGGATTGGCTCAAAAGGGGAACTGTGAGGATTGGCTCAAAAAAGGGAGCTGTGGGGATTTTCTCAAAAAAAGGAACTATGGGGATTGGCTCAAAAAGGGGAACAATGGGGTAGGGTGTTTCATTTTTCAAGAATGTTCTCAGATCACAACGGCCTTTTAACACGGGGTTACAAATGGTGATGGTAGTTCACTGATTTTTTTTCAACAAAATCGGATAACGTTAAAACTGGTCCATCGGCCATTCTTTCCGTCCCATTGGATTACATTGTGGGCGATGCCCACTTTTCAATGGAAACAATGTTTTGCACTTCTTTGCTGCTCATTTACCGGAAACGGTTAAAAGCATTTTTTCTGATATACATGTAAGCATTTGAGAATACATCAACACTTTCAATTGATGTAAACTAGACTGTTCTAGCAATTTTTATCGCAAAGATATTACAGATGTACTGGCCCAGTGGTCGAACAAATAAATGCATATATCGGGCAGTTAATTTCACGAATGTTTTTCTTTTTTTCTTTTTTGTCAACAATTTGAATCTTTTAGAAATTTTTTATTATAAAATATCCCCTTGTAAATCTAATAAAACATGTTTTAAGAATAAAAGTGGCTGAAATCAATTTTTATTTTTGACCCCCTCCCCCAGTAGACTACAGGTTAGTAGACTGACGATATCTCGGCAACAAAAAGTGCTCAAACAATCTAGTTTGCATCAATTGAAAGTGTTTTGATGTATCTCCAAATGTTCGGAAAACATTTTCCAATCATTTTCGGCAAATGATAAGCAAAGAAGTGCGAAATAATGTCTTCCATTGAAAAGTGGGCGTCACCCACAATGTAACCAATGCAGATCCAATGGGACGGAAAAAATGGCCGACAGACCAGTTTTAACGTTATCTGATTTTGTTGAAAAAAAAATCAGTGAACTACCACCACCATTTGTAACCCCATGTTAAAGGGCCATTAAGATCTGAGAACATTCTTGAAAAATGAAACACCCTACTGTGGGGATTGGCTCAAAAAGGGATGTATCCATATAGAGTGTTATTGAGTTTGATTTACATCCTTTATATCAATGAAACCCCAACCAAATTCTTGAAAATACATTCAATTTTTTATGTTCAGTTTCTCAAACAAAAAAAGCTTGTTTTTAAGCTGTGAGTATGGCATATAGCCAGGCACAGGGGCGGATTTGTGAACCAACAAGGGGGGGGCCCAAATCTCAGGTCAGAGAAAAAAACATCCGTAAAAGCCTTTTTTGGTCTAAGGCATATTTTATGGTATATTTTTAGTGGGCCCAATTTTTTTTCTGGGCCCAGGCCCCCTAAATTCACATGCTATCTATTGCAAGACTTACGCCTGCCACAACCGTCACCATGTTAATCAGTGTTTTTTAAGTAGCGCAAGGATCCTGCCATGACCGTGGTAGTGTTATCGTGTAAGCCTGGTATGACCGTGACAGGCTGATATAACCGTGACAATGCTGTATTCTATTGCAAGGCCTGTCATGACCCTGGAAGTGTTATCGTGGAAGCCTGGCGCGACCGTAGGCTTTATTGTGGCTTATAAGCGAATGTGAATATTATGTATAGTAGTAATTTTGATTTTGACATGATTAAGGTAGTTAAACACCATGATCATAGTATTAAACTGTTTAATTGTAATGAGGATCACTTAAAATTGTTAAGGATATTCCTGGCATTAATGTCATACATATTTACTAGTCATTGCAATACATTATAACGGTCATAGTAGAACAAGCCTAAATCTCTACATTACCACCCTCAAACCTGGCCTTGCAATACTATATTACATTGTCACGGTCATACCAGGCTTTGCGATCCCATAATACATTGTCATGGTCATGCCAGGTTTTCAAATACACATTGTCACGGTCAATTAGCAATCATAAATTTTTACATTACCACTCTCATACCCGAACTTGGAATACTATATCACATTGCCATGGCGGTCATACCAAGCCTTGCAATACTATATTACATTGCCATGGTCATGCCAGGCTTTGCAATACACATTGTCACGGTTATAGCAGTCCAAATCGTAAATTTCTACATTACCACTCTCATACCTGAACTTGCAATACTATATTACATTGTCACGGTCATGCCAGGCCTTGCAGTACTATATTACATTGTTACGGTCATACCAAGCCTTGCAGAACTATATTACATTGTCACGGTCATACCAGGCATTGCAATATAATACAGCATTGTCGCGGTTATACCAGGCTTTCACGATAACATTACCACGGTCATGGCAGGATCCTTGCGCTACTTAAAAAACACTGAATAACATGGTGACGGTTACGCCAGGCGTTAGTCTTGCAACAGATAGGGTCTCCCTAAATTTGTCTTACCTATTTAAATTTTAACCATCAAATTTTTTATCCTGGCTAACGCACTGAAAGTAAATTGTACAACTTTTGCAATTTCTTCAGTGTTCTCCATAGGATTTTTTCTAAAGTTTGTGCAAGATTCTCATTCCCACAATTCAGACTAAAATTGGTCTCATTTTCAAGTGGGTGCAAACAGATTTCCAGGTGGATGCAAGCCTGTTTTCAAAATCCAAGACGGGTGCCGCACCCACTTGCTTTAAAGCTGGATAGATCACTGTTCTTATTCCTAGTATAATTTAAGATATAACTTAAAATATTTATGATTTGAAATTCCGATCCAATAAGATAATAAAAATATATCAATAGCAATGTTTACAGTAATTTAAAATCACAGGATTATAGAATTTTTATTCAAAACATTCTAAATCCCTTTTGATAAAGGATTAATGTGCCAAATCAATTCTTATTGGTTTAGTCTTAATCTTTATGAAAACAATGTCAAATAAACGGTCGTAAAGTAGCCCTATGTTTATTATTAAGTCAAGCATCTTGGCCGATGGCTTGTGATATTGGTAAGTCTGATTGATTTTTACTTGTTTAATGGTTAAATACGAATAAAATTATATTTTGTCGAACAGGAATTATGTTCAGTAAAAATTAAGTTACATGGAATCCGACAATACTTTTAATGGTCAGGTATTATGTTATTATGTTAAAGAGTCAACATGACCTTTGGATTTTTAAATGAATTCCTGTAGTAGAAACATTTGTAGCATTGTTTGAAAATACATTTTAGAATCTGGGTTTAGGATGCATTTGGGTTCAGTGGAAAACAGTAGAATTCAAGGGAATGCGAGAAAAACAGTTTGATATTTTTAAAAAATGTAGAAAAAATGAAGATTCATTCTTAATCCAATGAGGATTAATTGTACACTGCAGCTAAGGACTACAATTTGTGACTGCCTGATAGTCAGGCTATAACAAACACGATGAGCAATTGTTACTTGTCAGCCCATCTAATGATGAATTGGAATCAATGAATCAATAAATTAGTACACTTTTCCTTTACATCTCACTATAAAGTAATTTGAATGAAGTGTCTGTTTTTCTTACATTTCTATAATTTAGAGTGTTTATTTTATGTAATTTTATGCTCTCATCATATACTGTTTGATTATCCTTTAAAGCAAACAATATGATTGTGACATTGATGTATCAATGACCATGAATTACCCTGATTTATAATTTAGTACACATCTCTCTTACTAGAATAATAATTATTTTTACAAATTTGCATTTTACTTATTCAAAGAGCACAACAGAACCGTACTAAGTTCACAAATATGCATGAAACAATCTCTAGGGAATGACAAGCTCTGATTGGCTCAGTGTGTTATCAGTAATCTCAGTAATGTAAAGAGTGTAGGGTGATATGGATCCTCTTTTCAAGGGTAGAATGACATGTGAAGCTTGCCTGTGATCAGCCCATCAGCTGAGGGCCTCTCAGCTGACAGTGTGTTGTGATTCATAACCATTCACAACAAAGCACTTGAAAGGGGATATGTATTTATATTATTGGAAAATGTACTGCACAGCATGATGCGAATTAGATATATTAAAAAAAATCCAATAAAAGTATAGTTCGATCATTTTCACGATTCTGATTTTCTGATGAGTTTTTATTTAGTACTACCAAGAAAAAGATTTCATATAGTGTTAAATTGAAATTACTCAAGGGGCGAGGAGGAAAATTCTCAATAAATGGTGTATAGTTGGTTTGGCAGCATTTTCAGTTAGGGGAGAGTCTTGGATGAAACTTCCACCTAGGTGATAGCTTCACAGAGTGGTAGGAAGTTCTTTTTTTTGAGGAGTTAGCCCCCCACCCCCCAAAAACACCCCACCTTGGGGGAAAAAATTGTTCACACTAAATAACCTTAGAT